ATATCGACATTACGAGCGGATTCGTTGTCGCGCGGAACAGACATTTTGCACCCTTATACACAAAAACACACATTCGTTTATAATCAAAAATATTATTCACTTTAATCACGATAAATATTATTCACTTGCTGAAGTAGATACAATCTTTTTCCAATGTATACACTACGGCGTAGTTACGGGTATTGAATGTACGTTCACTTTGATTCATTAATACGTGGACGATGCTATTTCATTTGTGGAACTCGTAAGTCGAGCGTAGACGGAGCTATTTCTGTATCGAGCATGCGCGGCAATGATGAAAATAGCAGTACAGTCCCACGGCTAGGCACAAGCAGCGGCCTTACTTCGCTGGATTTAGGCTTTGATTAATTGTTATCGAGTTGAGGGTCCTTCCATTGGATACTGACTGAACGGTTGGTCGCAGTGCATACAAGTGAGTTATCCTTCCAAATACCATTCAACTGAAAAATTGTATTCGTCTCTCGATTCGATAGTAATACGGGCGTGTCGTTTGACGCACACCAAAACGTGTAACAGTGCGAGAAAGAGACAGAGATGTACGAAGCAACAGACACGTTGTAAACTTTCACTTATGTTGGATTCAGCGTGCTTCGAGCGTAAGATCTCCGAATTGCCTTTTATTTTTGTTGACTTGAAGGTATGTACGCTTAATTTAAAAAATTTTCAGAGTTGTTAGAAATGGTTTCAAATAAAGTCTAAAAAAATGTAATTATTGCCTCTATAAAACATACGAGTATAGGTTGACTTTGATTCTGTGCAGTGGAACGCCGGAATATCCTATGCTTATGCGTGTTCCACCATTCAACTTAGTGTACGTTAATGCGTTCACGAGTGCGCTCGCGCGTGACATTTAATGAAACGGGCGCAAAAAAAAAGAGTCGATTCGCGGGTGTCGACGTTGGCCAACGCGCGGCTCAGCTCTTACTGAAGCGCGACTCGACGCTGTATAATACCAAAAAAAAGTCAATCACACGTATGTTATACGTGTCGAAATAATACTTGCGGCAGCTCAGCTGCGGCGATCGCGCGCGTGTACAGTTGTACACATTTAAGTACGCTGATTTTGGCAGTCTCGGAGTTGCGCAGCAGTCGTCCAGCCGATCGTCGAAGTGCTCCGATTTAGGCCTCGCGATCGCGCGAGGCGATTTTCGTACAACGTCTGTGATACATAGGCCGTTGATTATTTTTCCAGTCTCGAGTGCTAGCATATACACCCATAAGTACTGCAGCGCTAGCAGAGTTGCTCGCAGAAAAGCAAACTTTTACAAACGAGCGAGAACGCGTGAGAAAAAGCTAATGAACGTTGCAGCGATTTCATACGCGGCGCAGGGTCAATCGAGCTTCCAATGCTGTTGCCGCTGCAGATCTATACACACGTATATATACACGCTGATCGATCAACGGTTTTCTCTTTATACAAACTAACCAGTAGCACTGCTGCAGCTCGCAATGATAATATTAATAATTCCCCAGCGGCAGCGGCAGGATCCTATTAACCTACATGTTATGCGCTCATGCGCGCGCGAGAGAGAGAGAGACAGAGAGAGATACGTAAAGACAGAGGCTGAGGTTACGAGAACGTCTCTCGTGTGCATAGAGCAATCAGCGAACAAACTTATAATTTATTCATTAAATTCCAAATAATAAAGCGAATCTCTCGCGAACATATGTGTGAGACACAACAATGAGGGAATTCATGGCCGCGATGTGCTCCGTTACTTGTTGTCGCGCTTTGACGCATTCAATCTAAAAGCAAGAAAGACACAAAAGATTAGAATGAGAAAAGCCGCGCGAGTATACGTAAGCGCAAGGAGAAAGAACAGCTATACCATACTATTCGTGCCAGATTTCGACACGCGAATATGACTCACGCTCGTCGAAGTTCAGAGGAAATTCGACGAGCTTAGACGACGAGGGTGGCGAGGACTCGATGATCCTCGTCTTTCCCGCGCGATCGCGAGTCTTATTACAATACGGAGAAATGCTCGCGAGCCGCTGACGACTGCAAACGAGCTCAAGAGTGCATGATCGATTTTTCAGCTCGCCGTATTATTATAGTATAAAATTTCGCGAAATCGCTCGCGTATCGATCGTGCGAACGTCTCGGAATTCGGCACACGTTTTTAACTATAGATAAGCCAGACAAAACGCTTATTAGCTTCGTTTTTCCAAAAAATGAGGTCGTCGTCGTCCAAGACTTGGATGTATTATATTATATACCTGCACAAGGCAAAAGTGTACGGCGAGGCGTGAAAAGTGATTTTTTCGTCACGCGCCTCGGCTTATTATCGTCGTCGTCATCATCGTGGTCCAACAGATGCGAATTATATAGACACACTGGCTGGCTATATAGAGTCGGATAGATGTATAGACGGGCTTATGCGCGGCGGCATAGAAACGGGGCCGCGAGAGCTAGCCGAGCCGAGCCGAGCCGAGCGAGAGAATAAAAAACAAACGCCTTGGAAACTAGGTAAAATCGATGAAAAGGCGACGCGGCGCAAGGGCCACGTATACACACAACTCGATAACTCTCCACTCTTGTATAAAATAGACACACATATACACGTCGCATTGTGTATTCGCACGCTTCACCGTGGCATATATATATATTCGATATGTACCACGTTGCCGCGGCCCGAACTCGCGAGTCGCGTTGACGTTTGCACGAGTGTGCGACACGATGCTACTGCTTCTGCTGCTGCCAGCTCTATACATCCCATTTGCCTCTCCGTATAACGTGTGTACATTCGTGTGTGCCTCGTCCGCAGTCGTACACGTGGTCGTGGTCGTGGCCAAACGTCATGTGTGTGATTTTTTCTCTCTCTCTAATTATTCAAATTAACACGCGTTGAATATTGCTCCGTTGTAGATTTTCGACGTGGCTCGTTCGCTCGTGCAAGCATCGACACGTTTTTCTTATTTCACCGTCGAATCAGTCGCTTAATCGCGACGACCGCAACGTATTTTTTTAAATAAAAATTATACGCTGCACTTTAATTTTTGCGCTGTGCTCACAAATGCATATAACGCTCGCGCGGACGTGCACACAACAAAAATGGAACCTTCGAGCGCGCATCGTGACCTAAATACCACCTATCAACGAGTCGTTATTTTCTTCTTCTTCTTCTCAGTTTTTTTTTTATTTCGTTGACGCCTGCAGAAATATAACATCGATAGCTCTGTGGCGACTGTTGCTCTCGTATAGAAAATGTATATCGCTCTCGTGTATCGCAACGATGCTGCATTCGAGTGACGTCATCCGTAGCGAAATTTATCATTGCAAATGACAAACACACGCTGTTTGGCTATGAATTTTTCTCCCTCGGGAGTTTCATTTTCATTGTTTATAAGCCAGAGCGGGAATAATGATCGATTCATTTATTATTATCTAAATCCGGTCGCGTGAATCGATAAAAAAAACTCTTCATTGAAATTAAACTACCATCCGGTTTGCATCTAGTGCACTGATAGGCATACGCGCATGTCACGTAACGTGTGTGTAGCTCCGATAAAAAAAAATAAACAAATACCCTTGGAAAATATCGTGATTAGGTCAGTCTGCATCGCGCTCGTATATGCATAACTGCGAATCGCACGTTGCAGCATGGAACTCGTGCACATGCAGTTTATAGCGAGACTCGGTTTTTTTTGCACGTCACAGCGATATGTCTGAAATTATCACCGAAGCCAGACAATTTTCGTTCTCGTCGATAGATTCACTTGATCGCGTGAAATTCGATCCTCGATATATGCAACGCGAAAAAAGAGATTTACAGCGCCCGTGCCAATACACGTTTGTGCACTGGGAACGGTGGCAGATGCATGCGAGCAAAGGAAAAGGCCGAAGGCACACACCGTCGTGTTTGCAACAGCCAGCTTTCAAAAGGCTGTCTCAAGATGGCGGTGATCCGTTTCTATGCTCGCACACGTACACGTGCGAAACGCGCAAAATTATTGGCCAGGTTTTGCGGACTGCTATTGTGCCACACGGCTTCTTTAAAATCGCATTTCTATTCGCAGTTTTTAATGAATTGAAATTCGAGCGAACGAGGAGAAAAAGATTAACTTCACAGCTGTACATACAAACGAACGCCTAATGCTATTTTTCATTGTTTTTGAGTACTCGAGACTAAAATCAATCATTGAAGCATTTCTTAATATGCTGAAAGCAAACTACTGAAAACGATCCTGTTCTTTTGAACAACAGTTATAATGTTTGGCAGATACTTAGTCACATAAATAGTTGTCACTTGTTATCAAGGTAATGGAAAGCTTATAATGTAGCTAATAAGCAAGTAAGCTACTTGTCCCTCATTCATAAGAAAATTGTGTGCAAGCAGTAAACTTTTTTATAGATATGATTTGATAATGATATGAATTATGTGAGGTGGTCAATTGATATTTAAGTTTTCAGTAAGTCTAGCTTTAAGGTTCAAATTGAAGGTAATAAATACTGTCCTAGAAAAAAATCTAACCCCCTGGACTTTGTTAATAACATTCTCACAATAATACTATAAAGAAGAATTAATATTAGTAAAAATAAATGAAAGGATGGATGAAAGGTTATAATAAAATATAACAAGTGTAAATGTTTAATGTATAGTTGTCTGCTATTTAAATGAAAAATTTAATGTTTTAAAAGGAATAGGGGGAATGTGTGAAGGGACGTATAAACAAGTTCTTTTTAAATTTTTTCGTCCCCATCTTTCTATCAAGTCAATGAACCCTCAAAAGACACTGAGCAGTAGCAATGCTAGATCAACATACAACTAAGATATTACTATCTCAACTGGAAAACAATGTATATCTACAATAAGTCAAAACAAATAGCGTTGGATTATAAAGACATGACGCTGATTTTATAATATTAAAAAGCAATTTATAAACTTTAAATAGAACTGCAAAACCAGTCGAAAGTTTGACGATAAAGGCAGCTACATTTCAGATTTCAAGTGTAAAAATGAAAAGCTGTTAAATACCTCACGATGACGCGTCTCTTCATCGGTCTCCATGTTGATCATTATTATGATCCTGTTGTTATTGTTACTCGAGTAACTTCTCTTTGGCTCGATACAGCAATGTATACAGGTTTACAAATGCTCCGAGATATAACGCACTTGTCAAAGAAGTTCACCAGACACACTCGAAGCGTCCCAGCTTTGATGCACGCAGCTAGGAGACACACGACCGTGGCTCGATGATAAGCAACTCTCTTGCAGTGTGACCAGTGCAAATTCTCCGATCACAAGCGCGAAACTCACAAATTACAATAATATATATGTATCGCGCACTGAATCGCACCGAGATAGATACGAAGCCCGAGAGCCAGCACAACTCAGCAGCACCCTACACTAACACAGTCACGTCACACACTTTGGCTCTCTGCGTATTTATATATAGCTACCTATATTGGAAGTCGGAATTGGCGAGAGCTGTATAGGAGAGAGAGAGATAGAGAGACGGAGAGAGCTCCGTGCAAAACTCAACTGCTTTTTAACTCTCGACGAGGCAGGTTATGTACGCAGAAAATATTTGCAACTTGTCGCTGCTGCGCTCGGATGCTGCTGTGGCAGGCGCTATTTTCCGCAGCTTCGAGGCATCAATCGCGATGCTCCGATTATATTGTGCTGTGCGTCAGTTAAAATTCAACAACGGTCGACGGTAGCGACGACGAACAAGTCCAAGAGATTACATCGATCATGCCGAACAAATACACACACACAAACACGTAGGGTAGGAGGGCGAGAAACGAGAATGTGTGTTCAGTACTCCGAATTACTGCCAACGAGTCGCGAGTCGGGCGATTTGTATCAATCGGTACGCCTATATATTTGCTCTATACTCGATGGCTGAGTCGGGACTGAGCCCATCCAACGACTTGTGTGCGCGCTGCTACGACTACGACGATACGTTGTTGGCCGCAGAGGCGCGAGTCATCGTAGCTGCTGCTCTGGTGGCTGCATCGAGTGCTGCTCGCAGCGCGGCAGGCTCGACTTTGCTGCTGCTGCTGCTGCTCTCCCCTCTCCGTCATCATCCAGCGGAGCGACGCCTCGGAGCGAGGGAAAGGTTTCGCGCAGTGCCACACCGTCGCGGCACCGACAGCACGGAGCAGAAAATATAAAAGTAGCGAGCCACGAATATAATTCGCATCGACGTGAATAGCTCCGTGTGCTCGTTGCAGCTGCGAATCGTGACGCGGCCCGAGTAGCGATTTGCGGACGCGGTGCATGCACGCGCGCGCGGACCTCGTCGAGTTCTGCTTTATCGATTCTACACTTTGCGAGAGGGCGATTCAAATTTTTTCGAAATTTAAACATTCCATCTTTTGGAAGGATCGAACAAAGGATAAGAGAGAATTACGTTGACGTAATTACAAAAACTGTGAGCTTTGATTCTACGGTAAGGAACTAATGCGGTACTGTCCAACTGTTAACGAGAACAGCATATTTAACTTCTTTTTTCGATATTTTAATTTTTGAATCTGACAAATTTTAGGAGCCGAGATTTTATTTGAATCTCATCGTCTAAATAAAGCATTCGAATTTTAATACCAAACTACCATCTACCAATCAAATCGCGAATAAAACGCTGACAACATGGTGGCGCTCAAAGATGGGGATGGATTTATGAATTTACCATTTATATACATACTATTTATATACGCTAGTATTACTATTTATATCCGTACAAATTTTACTATTTATACACGTTCTATAATTTTAAGAAAATTTCAACCGGAAACGCGTGATTTTTTCGCATGCGCGAAGCGTTGACTCTGTCTCGAGTGCAGTGGTTGATTCTTTCTCTCTCGATGCACTGCGCAGTCTGCCCCTCTGCGTCCAATGTCCATTCTCTCTCATATGTATATATACCAGTTCGCACATACTATACCCGTCAGCGCAAAAAATCGCGTCGTTGCCACATTTCGCGCGAGCTTCGCCGCATGAGCTTGCAGCGAGGGACTTTTAAATTTTTTATCGCGCCAGTTTATTATTGCACTCGCTGCGCCAGCTTCACGCGCGGGCAGAGCAAAATTTATTGATGCCAATCGACGAGACTCGATAACTGGATACCTAATTATAGCTCCATTCGCACTCTTATCGAGCCAAACTTTTCAGAATTTTCCAATTCGGGATCGACTCGATTGTCAAAAACGTGATTAAAGGCCTTCTTCTCCAATCGAACTACACAAATATTTAAATGGTTGCATTCCATTACATCGGTACGAAGGGTAGTTGAATAAAAAAAAACATCTTTTATAGTTAAATTTTCGATATATTTTTCAAGCAATATATCGAATCGTTGTCAGTTTTAGTCTTTTTCTTTTTTTTATACAAAATAGTTGAGTGCATAATAAAAAAAAAAAAAAGAAAAATTAAAATAATTACAAATATGTACAAGAGTGTAGCACCAGAGATGAAGTTTTAGGTGCTAATTTTTTTTTGATAAACCTTATCACGTCCATCGACTCAGTTCTATTCTTGTTGTTTTCATTTCTTTTGGTTCAATTTTCTTCAGTGATATATAAGGTTTGTGACAAACTAAACAGTCCAATGGTGGATAATAATGGCGGTAACATAAAAAGGTCATTGCCAAACCAATTAATGAACCCGTTAAAACATCTGCAAAAATATGTTATTTTAATTTATTGAAAACAATTAATGTTATTTAATATAACATTAAAGTAATTGATAGTACCTTGCCAGTGATGGTGATAGTCACAGGTACGGCTTATAGCTATTGTAAGAGCAATTCCCAGTGGAAATAAAAAAAGAAACAATTTCCATGACTGTCCCTTCCCATTCCAACTAAAGGTATGGAGCTTTCCAGCTACGTACAGTGCCACAAAACCAAATCCTGAAAAGGCCACTGAAATATTTAAATAAAAGTTATTGCTCAGCACAAAATACAATCTATCCAAACTAGCTAGACATCAATTAACTAAAACTAATAAACTCACAGGAGGCATGACCACTGGGGAAAGACTTTTTCCCATCTCTTATAGCTACAGGATCACCCGTGCATTCAAAATCAAAATTGACATTGCCATCTGGGAAACATCTATAGAAGAAATCTGGTCTAGGCCTACCTACAATTTTATAATAAAATTACAAACTAATTGCTACAAAATACATTAAAATAAATAAAATTGACTAATGTCTAAGAAAAAAAAGTCTTACCAACAATTATTTTTAATATATTAGTCACTACTCCAGTAAAACCTAAGGATAACGTATAGGAATAAACAGCCTGAGAAAAGTCGTTTTTTTCTTTTTGAATATAAAAAACCAGTGATATGACTATCAATGGCACTAGTATAATTGCTACCTGTAAAGCAACAACGTTCGGAAATTCAGCATATTATCTATAATTACGTTAAATGAATCGAAACTACTGTTCGAAGGACATTGAGTGGTACGCACGGTACGCTTACATACCCATAATACTGACGTAGTCACGTATGAATCTACTCTGGGATTTTTGTAAAGCCACAGCTCGTTCTCGTGAATCTTTCTCGTGAAGGGCTCCATGTTTTCCAGCTCTCTTTAATCGTATCGAGTGGAAAAAGAAAAAAATAACAAGTCAATTTAATTATAAAAAAGCACCAAGTACAATTTAATTTTAAATAAAGTAATTAATGAATAAAGTAAAGGCGATGAAAAAGTCAATGGAAGAAAATGGAAAAGATTTCGATCTATATTTAAACGATCAAAAAAAAGTGAGATCTATATTTAAAATAATTTGCGCAAACGGTGTTTGATCGATATTCGCTCGAGCAAGACTATAGAGCTCGAGGTAGCTACATAAATACAAGTAAATGTATATCACTCACATGTTAACGATCGCCAGGAGAACACGGAAGAAGACCTCCACGATCATGACTGTCTCGAGGATCGGCTGCTCGTAACAATAGTAATGATTGGGGCTCGTAGCGCCGCGCTGACTGCCGCTGCCGCCTGGGCCCTGCTGCTGCTGTTGCTGCGAGGAGAGCAGCAACTGTCTGTCGCTCGACGCCGAGTGATGAGCCGACGAGGGCGAATTGGCGCGCGAAGCCGAAGCAGAAGACGCGCCGCTGCCGAGCGTCTGGTAGTTGCTCATGGAGTTGCTGCTCAGCCGACTGGTGCTGCTGCTGCGCTGCTGGGCCCAGTCGTGATGGTGGTGATAGGAGGAGGCCGGATGATGATGATGATCGATGGTCGCGGTGCGGCTGCGGGCTGGCGGCGGCGGTGGCGGACGATCATCTCGCCAGACCTTGGTGTAAATGCCGCTGCCGTTGTTGGACTGCTGCTGCTGTTGCTGCTGTTGGCTCTGCATCGAGACTCTTCTTTTGCGCTGGGAACTCGTCGCGACGATTCGACACTAGTGCTGCTAGTGGTGCTGCTGCCGTTGATGTCTGATCCTGGGTAATTGGTAGCGAGTCACCGCGGCACATGACAAGTCATCCCAAGGCGGCTTCGAGCGTACCCCTCTTATCCCCGTGATTCGTAGACTCGTACTGGCGAGAGCGAGCGAGCTTGCGAGGAGCAGTGCAGTGCAGTGGCAGTCGCGCTCGCCTCGGGCGGCCGTGAGCTTGACGTAGGCTGCGTCACGACCTGCTACGCTTCGAGGCTCTACTGCGCAGCTGGATTATCGATGTGTTGTTGTTATGCACTTGTACTACTTGCGGCCCGCGCGCGCACCGCTGCAGCGACAGAGTCCAGAGAGCAGAGAGACTAGGCCAACCGCTGCACTGCGAGCGCTCTAATGCTCCAGTGCTACTGCCATCGCGCGGAGGCACTCCCGCGTAATGATCCACTGGAATATCTATCCTATATGATTCCAGTCGATGATCGCGGGGCATGGCTCGGCAACGACCGAAAAAAAATCGAATCTATAATTGCGCGCGAGTATCGAAACGAGTCCAGCCGATAATAATACGGACTTGGGTGAAACGTCACCCTACTTTGGCCAATTTCTTCGCAATCGATGATCGTAATGGGCCACGACGAACAAACAACGTACGCTCGAGTCCGCTGCAGGAGTCTCGTGCACTCGAGCGCGAGTACATTTTTATCGATCCCCCTCCTGCTGCTGCTGCTGCAAGTCCATGCGAACCGACCTGACTTGCCCCGTGCTTGCGCGTACACACTTTGAGCTACATATATAATATCGTATACGTGCACCTGCAGCTATGACAAAAAGCTCCGCAGCGCCATCCAGGTGTGTGCAGTGCAGGCCGTCGTTCGCTCGAGACACCTGCCATTCGACGGCCCGTCGAACCTTATTCGTGCGAAATTTCGAACCCTAAATAGACTCGTGCATCGACGCGTAAGTCGATGATGCGTCGAAATGTTTGGGTTGCGCGCGACATAACATATTGCAACTCGTATTAATTTTCAAGCTGACCGATGCATACTTGATTCGAGCTGTTGTACATGCCTCAAACAAAGCAATAAACCGCCAAACTTGCGAGTACTCGATCGTCCGTCAGGCAAATAAGCTCTCTATCTTTCAAAGCGGCGGCGGCTGCGGACTCGGGTCGAAAACGAAATTCGCGCTGCGCGCCATTCCTCGCAAGTTCGGAGTTACGGACGCACGTTTGGCAACGTCGTTCCAACGACGAACGACTCGATCGGCTTTGCATATAGCGTGTAACATCCCCTCTTCGAATCGAACTGTTGTTTTTTTTTTCTTTTTTACGTTATTTATATTTAGCAATAAGAGCGAGACACGAGGGCACTCCTCCTCTACCTCCTCCTCCACCTCCCAAAGCAACGACTCGTCTGACAAGTCGCGAGGATGACTAGTGGCTATTTATCGCCAAGCCATTGTAAAACTAGCCTCAGTCGTGGTTTTCGCTTGCGCCAGCAGTTGCTATATATACGAGCGAACAGTAAGCACAGCTGCATTTAAATATCCACTGTACGGAGACGCGCGCTTTGCTAATACACATCAGTCATTGGCCGTTGCACGTCGGCATTGAGGACATTTCTATATTTTTCTATAATAAGAAAAACAAGTCTCGGCTATAGTCGAGCCAGTCTCGTGCTACCGTCATAGCGTTTAGACATCGCTTCAAATCGTGTCAAATGGCGGCGCAGGAAGATTCGAGCGGTGTTCGCAAGAGCGGATCCGAGTCGGCGGCAGCGGCGGCGGCGCGTGTCGTTGCCGCGGCGAACAACTCGACACAGCAGCAGCAGCAGCAGCGAAGATCATCTTCGGCCAGCAGTCGGGTCTCGCGACCGTCGCCCCTAAAGAACGCGAGTGGTAGTGGTAGTGTTGCGATAACGTCGGCGCTGCCGCCGCGTGTGCCACCGCTCATCAACGACGACGACGACGACGACGAAGAAGCTGCCTTCGCTGGCTTTCCTGCCCTCGAAGTCGAACTCGCTCGCAGTGGTGAAATGATCGCTGCAGCTATCGATAACGTTGCGAGGTTCGTTTACGAGCATGATGTCGTAGAGTTTATCAACAACGAGCTTGATCGCGAGTCTGCCACTGTGCGTCCTCGTGCACGTGTTTGCAATCCCCGGTCGCGCTGTCGCTACTCCCTGTCTCAATCAATCGTTCTGATTACGACCAAATGTGCCGGTCGATTCAAATCTTGCACAAAATTACCTAATTTAAAAATGCTTACAGAACAATGATCGTCTTTTTCAATTGCTTATAACGATTGTAAATTTATAAAGAAATTTGAATGAATTGTTAATTTTGCAATCATTTTTCTGCGCCAAAGACGTGCTTGTCAAATGTTATGACGCAAAAAGATTTAAACGACCGCGAGAATTTACCCTAGAGGTTATTTTGATACTAGTTTATTTCTTCCAGATCAAAGTGTTTACCAAAAATTTGACAACCACCGGATTCAACAGCAAAATCTGGGAAAGAAAATAATACATCCCAAATGCTGTTGAATAACACATCTTCGACTACTTCTTCTTCTCCTTCAGTTAGTACTGTCAAGCCAAGCATGCCAAGCCCAAATAGTGTAATGCCAGAGGAAACTGGCAATAATTTTTTAAATTATCTTCGTGATCTAGCTGGTACTCTGGAACTCGAACCTCATCCAAGTATCAAAGACCATTGTTATGCTAGACCATATAATTGGAAACCCGATCATGCATTTGTTAAGCCTGTTAAAAAATTATTTTTTCCAAAGACTGAAGTGATATCTAAGTGAGTATTTTGACTATTGATTTTTCTAGCTTTATTGATGTGTATTCATTTTGTTACTTATTTCCTTATTTTAGAAAAAAAGGAGATGAAGATATTATTGACGTTGTTGGTGATTTTGAAGAAAAAACTCCACCTCCATTTGATACTTCCAATGTGTATCAAACAATGGATGAATTTGCAAGAGTTGCAAAATTTGTCAGACCAGAAGAAACTGAAGATTGGGAAGATAAAATAGATAAAACTGGCTGGGCACCACTTGAAATGCGAATATTTTCACGAATTGTAAGAATACTAAATTCTGAACGATTAACAAGATTAGCCAAAGCAAATGACCCTTATGAACCCATTATACGAAGAGCATCCATTGATAATACAGCCAAAAAATTTAGGGAAACTATGGCATCAGCAGCTTGGGATATGAAAATAGCACAATGGCTCCATAGTTTACTGTATGATCATTTACCACAGAGTTATTTGGCTATTTATTTAGATATCCTGCAAAGCTTAAGACAAAAAATTCCTACACTTATTGATAAAATGATCAATACCCAACCAAGTTTAAATTCTAAGGGAAGCACTGTAACATGGGATACATTAGGACCTCTTCTAAAAAAGTCTTGGGACCCTATAACACCTGTATTAAATGCTAACAAACCAGTAAGTTAGAGTGAGAAATTTCTTCAAAAAAATACAGTAAATATAGTAATGTGCTCAATTAAAATTTGTAATAAACTTTTTTTTTGTTCTAGAAAAAGTTACCTGAAAATCCAATTTTCATTGTTGTTCCTAGTGGAAGTCCCACTACTCTTTCATCAAGACATAATAAGTGGATTAGTCAATTGGGAAATTTAGCCAATGTTGTTACAGTTAACTCATATCAACCACTCGCTGCTAACAAAGTTTCAGTCATGATTGGTCTGGAACAATTGGTTCAAGCTACTCGATTAAAAATTCAGGAAGTTAAGGTGGGTCAGCCTGGAAGACCTATAGTATTAATTGGATTTAATACAGGAGCAGCTTTAGCTTGTCAGGTATGTGAAAAAATAGAAAAATGTAAAATTTATGTATGTCATTAAGATTTCCATTATGTCACAGTTATTAAAATCATGTATAAATTAAGTCCTAGTAATAGTCACTAGTACTAATTAATGATAATAAAAATATCATTTGAATTCTTTTTTAGGTCGCACTGTTAGATGCAGTGACAGCAATTGTTTGTCTTGGATTTCCTTTCAATACAGCTGATGGTAAACGTGGTTCTCCCGATGATGTTCTTTTGGATGCACGTTGCCCTATTATGTTTGTGATAGGTCAGCATGCAATGCTAGTAAGACCCGACGATATCGAAGATATTCGTCAACGTATGCTTGTACCAACTAGTTTGGTGGTAGTTGGTTCTGCTGATGACCATTTAAGAATTTCCACATCAAAAAAAATCAATGAAAAAATCAGTCAAAGTATGGTTGATAGATGCATAATCGATGAAATTGCCGATTTCGCTAGTAATATTTTATTACAACCGCATCCCATTATACGAACTGCTAATTCCGTTAATTCATATGAAAATAGAAGTGAGTAAATAATAATTTAAAAATTGTATTTTTCCATGTTCAAATTTTTAAATATACTTTTTTGTAGATAAGCAAGTTGACTTACGGAAACGGAAAGTGTCGGCTAATACATTTGACAGTGAACCTCAAGTTGCAAAAAAGATTCGTACTCCCGCGAATTTACCTTCAATCAAACAAACAGCTGCAGTGAAAAGAAATGCATCGACGAGCCTTTCAAGTCCTCAGCCTAGAAAAAAATCTAAACCAACTGCATCTAATACTCGAAATGAACCAGATCAAATAATTTCTGCTACGATCACGCCTCAAGTATTATATTTTGAGCTTAATTTTAAATTATATTTTCTTAAAATCAAAGTCTACATGTATTTTACTTTAATTGTTTTAGCAGCAACAAAATTTAGAAAATCCAACTGGTGGTATAACTTTAAACATTGGTTCTTTTGCAAGTTTATCTTCTATGGGTGCTATTCGTTTGGAACCCCCAACATTAAACTCTTTGAAAACGCAGTCAAATGCGTACTTTAAAGTTTTAAAAAATAATAGTCAGGTCAGTGTAGGAGGACAAACACAAAATATAGCTAAAATTAAAATGATTATGCCACAAAAAAAAGTTCAGCAAACTAGTAACAGTTCCAGAGCTAGCAATACAGTTAATAAACTGAATGAAGGAAACTTCGTACCTGCTGGTGCCCAAACTGGTGGTACAATCAAAGTTCTTCCGCCCATGTCAGCAGGTAATTTCATAGATTTTACGTATGCAGGTCAATTATTCGTGATTTTTTTATACACTTATTTTTTGTTTAGTCTCTAGTTCAAAGGCTACATCCAGTATACCAACAGTGAATCTCCCTAGTATTCAGCATGTTAAAAGTATCAACCTTAATCACGCAACATTGAAGCCGGTAACGTCATCAAATATACTTTTTAATCCGAAATCGTTATCTTCTACAACAGTTTCAACAACATCTGCTACAACCACAGTAGCAGCTGCATCAAATTCTGTGGCAACTAAAGGTAGAGAATAGTTAGAACATATTCTGACCCCCATGCAAATGAGTGAATGTATGTGAAAATCACTAGTTAAGATTCATAAAATTTGAAAATAGAGATGTCGAATAAGTACGAACGTATTTTCTTTGAAAGAACCTTAAGCATAAAATCGAGTATAACTATTTATTTAAGATATAAATATTAAACTGTTATTGTAAAAAGTAGGATTTTGTATCACACTGATATTTTTTGAATTTAACTGTGATAAACTGATTCAGTACCACTATAGCGAAAACGTTCTTATAAAGTTGTATAGTTGTTACAATCGTTTTGCTACAATCAAATTTGAATATCATTTCAAAAATATTGAATGTGATGAAATATTTAACTGCAAATCGGAAATTAAAAATGTTCGACCAAAATCACTTGGACGGATCAAAATTAGATTCAAATAAATATTTTTGTAAATTTATTTATAATTTTTTATCTTTAGACCTTTTTTGATAAATCCCACTCCTTATATCAGAATTAACTACTGTAAATCGTACTAACATGTCTAGTTAATGCACTATCTTCTAATGAACTAAAAAGGGCATGTATTGCTATTTTCACTTTTATATTCTAATTTTTTGTGTGTTCAAATGAAAATAAGAACTTGAAAATCTTTCAACTGTTTATATTACCTCGTAATATTTTAAAATACGAGAAATCATTGTATAAAATCTCGTCTTCTATAGTTCCATCTTCTCTTTACATTTATAGTTGCTGATATCAACAGCAGCAAAAAATTACATCAGCCTTTGCTCCAACAACACTCAAATCAACAAGTGAAAACGAAATCACCTAAGAGACGCACTTCAGCTCCTTTGGTCGTTTCGTTGCCTAAAACTCCTCGCAAGGATTTGAACTTGTCAACTCCACTAGATACAATTAAATGCCCGCAATTGCCTAGTAAAGGTCGTCCGCCGAATGCCAATAAGGTATGGACTTTATATCCCCCTTTATTCAAATATTTTCTACAATTAAGCCTGACTTGAAGTAAATTCAAAAAATAATTAATATTCTAAAATTAAAAAAAATAAAAGAATGAGAGATTAAAAATATTTGAAATGTTTATAACAATGTGAGACTTTTACGTATTTTGACAACGCATATTCGTGAACTTTTTACTTTTTCGTGATTTGACACATTCATATTTTCACTTAATTCAAATTGTATAATATTATTTGTTAACTAAAAATAATTCACAGCCTGTCGCAACGAAAAAAACTAAAACAAGCCCGTCAAAACAACTTCAGTCACCACAAGCACAAGCGGAAAGTGGAGCAAATCTTAGTAAAAATCTAATACCGAATATTCTTGATTTACCTATCATCATTGCCAAAGATGGTACAGATTCTGTACCAACTGATCTTCCTCCGACATCGACAACTACGACCATACCCAGTTTAGTTTACATAAACGAAGGAACACCTTCGCAACAACCGATCGGAGTAAAGTATACAAAAATAATTTTAGCTAAACGCACTGATCAAAGTAATTCGAGTGGACCAGTGATACTAACAAAAACCAATAAAGCAACTCCAAAACCAACAGGATCAAAAACAACGAATACAAAAATAGTAAAAGTTAAAAGTAATGTGAAAAAAGTTTGAGAGTGCCTTAATTGATGATGAACATTTGTTGTACTTGAATCAATACAATATTATGTTTAACTCGATTAAAAAATACTTTATGTGTTCATCCCAAATATTTAAATTAATGTAAAATTGAATGAATTGAACTATATTTTCATTGTATGATAAAAAAACCGTTAGTTCATTCAAGTTATTTTAAAGTCATTCTATATAAAGAAGCTTAAATTATAAATGTATGTATATTTCAATAATTTTCAATGTTGATTTTGTATTATAATTTAGTTTAAGTGGTGAATTATTTGTTGCATGTTTTAATAATGTGTCTTAGATTTTAATTTCAAGTAAAACATTCAAAATAAGAAAATTTTACAATTCTTAAAGAAATAATCATTATTTTATAAATTATGTACATACAATGAATAAATTTAGAAAAAGTTGTTATGATATTAATTAAAATTATAAAAAATATATTTCATTCAATATTTAATATAAAAAAATCTAGTCTTAATTATAGATAAATATTTTCTCCAAAACTATATTAAAAATTTATCTACTCATGTAAAAATGCTTCCCCATCTTTTGAAGTGAACATAGCATAAACTTTACGACTCAATTCTGGACCTACTTTTCTAATACTTGTAAGAGGTCCCGCAGCTCTTCTTATCTAAAAACATTAAAAATAACTGTGAATTCATACTTAAATTATAATGATATAGGAAGCTTATTTTATTTACCGGAATATCTTTTAGTAATCCTTCTCCTTCAGCTGGAGTACAGTTGTTGTAAGCCTGGAAATATTTTTTCACGTTATGAAACAAATTATTATTTAACGAATGCTGATTTATAAAATCCTACCTCCATAAGTTGACATGGACTCTTATAAATGGATGCTATAGATTCTGAAGTTTCTAAACTGACAAGGGAAAATTGACCCAGTTGTTGCTGCCAAAGCCTTTTTAAGCCATTACCATCTTTATCAACTTTGACGGTATCTCTGTTGTCACTGTTAACATACCAATCAACAGATGAAGATTCTTGTCTTTTCTCCTTTTTTGAAGGTAGTAATGCTATTGATTTGGTATATTGATAAATAAGCAAAGCTATATCTGACTGACTCTCAATGATTCTTGTATTTACACCATAAATTACTTGTACTTCTACTAGAATTTCTTCAAACTTTTTTCTAGATATTTTTGGATAGTCTGAGTAATTATTTTTATCTACTTTTCTTTTTTTCTGTTTATCTGTACCTGTTATAGTAATATCAAATCATTTACTGAAAATAATTTATTAATACTTGAATTAACTTACCCAGTATTTGCTCATGCATAGCTGCATCTTTCAAATTTTTTGAATATTTGAAATAATCTTCTATTTTATAAATAACTAATGTAATCTTTTTTTTTGGTAAAAGACATTTAATCTTTTTAATTGTATTCAAAAAATTATTTTCGTATACTTGTTTGACAGCTTCTTTACAATTCCAAACTATTATTGTTTGACATTCATCAATAGTAATAGATTTTGTACAAATTTCGTTTGAATCGTTTAAATAATTCTGTTCTTCTGTTCTTTTCCATGTGATACTGTTAGGTATAATTTGTGATTGAACAGAATGTTTGATTTTAGATTCAGCAATAGTTTGCAAAAAATCAATAAAAAAATCAGATGACATTATTTCATGATCATAGTTAATTTCCATTAATTTTAGACAATGTTCAGGATCAGCACTGAGCTTATTTTTGCTGTTTAATTGTTTCAATGCCTTTTGCCTTGCAGCTTCTTCTTGTTTACGTTGTCTCTCTTGCTGCTTTTCCTCTTGTTTTCTTTTTTTTTCCTGATTGACTTTCTTGGACTTTGGTTGTTTTTTCTTTCCTAAAATATTATTTCAAATTATTTTATTGCTCATAAAAAAATGTTATTCTAATCTTTACCTCTTTCTTTCTCGTACTTTGGCTCTGAATCATCAGATTCATCAGATGAAAGATTAGAAGTAATTTTTGGATAGGTAACTGGAGCTTTGACTACTTCTGATTCATAATCATCCTCTGAAGATAATTCAATACTATTTTTATCATTACTTTTTATATCATTTTTGAATGGAGAATTTGAATATGATTCAGTATTTTGGGTCCCTCTATATACATCAACGCCGCCTCGAGCATCTTCACTTCTTTCAACTTCATGTCCAAAATCGACTTCAGGAAAATCTGATAAACTGAATCTACGGCTCAACTCACCTCTCACTAAACTAGTTTCGTTATCATCAGAGTTACTGTCAATGCAAATCGCATCCAGCGCATTAGTTACTGATTTTTGAGTAAAACATTTATTAGAAAGGTCGTCACCATCGATTGAATCATCACTTATTTCGATTACATTATTCATCTTGAATTTTTTTTTTCAAGTTGAAGCGTAATCGAACGTCCCATCAAAATGCAGATAAATGAATTCAAAAGTTCAATTTGAACCAACTGTCAGAACCGATTCATGCCATTGACACGAAGAATGCTAAAAAAATGATCAAGTGATTGAACTTCGGCTCGCTGAAGAGCTATTATGGTTAAAGGCGCAGCACGTGTAAACAAAGGATTCTGAATAGACGTCATGAGAGAACCCGCGAGAGTGACTTTCAGTCGCCCGCCAAATTGTCGCGCTCAGCTGCTGGTAATGATTGACGTGCGCGCCGATATTTTAATTGCATAAATCACTCTTCACGGGACACCCTTACATTGTGCTCGCTCGTTTTTCAAAAAGTGAAAATCAAATATTTCGAAAAAAAAATGTTGATTGCATCGATAGATCTATCTTGAAATCGAAATAAAAGCTAAATCGAAGCTAGGGCTTTCTGAGGTGGATTTTTTGTGCAGCCTAGCGCGTAGCATTGTAGAAAAGCCGCCGATCCAAATTAACCCAATAGAATAATATCATAACGGTGCAGTGAATGCAGCTGTAAAATTCTGTCCAGTATATACCCATATTTGCGATATACTACAGGCAGGCTATAAGGCCTTGCGCTAGCAGCCGCAGCCCGGCGCTCGTCGCTAATCGCTCGCCGTCGTCGCCGCCGCCGTCCGTCCGTCCGTCGGTCTCCCCATCCCCTCCGTTTCCTTTTTCATCGCTATAAACATATATATCATTATACACTGCGCGAGACTGGCGCAGATATATACACATACAAACAAGACAGAAAACGCTGAAGACCAGCCTATATAGCTCGGTTTGAAACTTGCTTGCCTTACGTACTTATAAAGTGTGTGACTCGTCGCTCGCGAGCAGTGCTATTGCGGTTTGGAAATTGAGTGCAAAAAACCCATTGACAAGACTCGGACCAATATAATTCGAAGGGCCGCGAGACAAGACGACGATGGCGAAGAAGACCTACGATTTGTTGTTCAAATTGTTGCTCATCGGCGACAGCGGTGTCGGCAAAACGTGCATACTCTTTCGTTTTTCCGACGACGCCTTCTCGACGACGTTCATATCGACCATAGGTGAGCGACGATACACAATTTCGATTAATCCTAGATTTACTTGCATCGGAAAAAATGTGCATTCGTGTCGTACTTGCTGAGCTCGCGAGCATATACAGCTGCAACTATTGCGTGCCACATTGACGGTTTAATGAAACGACGTCTGTCTATGATGTAGTTTTATTTTTAAACGCTCTGCCCCGCCGAGATGTATTCTATATAGGCTATTGCGAGACTCGAATCGCTCTGTCTCTTGTCTTCAATTTTCATTAAAAATATGACTTTACTTTACTTTATCGGACACAGCCGAAAAATGACTGGCTAGTTTAGGGATAAATGCGATCATAGATCAAGGTTAGTTGGGGCTAGATAAAAAAACTCCCTTCGTTCAAAGCCTCGCTTCAACGTGATAAGACAAAGCAATGAATTTAGAGATTATTCAATTCACGGTCTGAGAGCATACATTTTTAGCAGTCCTGATGATAAACGGCAATGAATTGAGGAATCTCTTTCTTTTTGTATATTTGTTTATTAATTGAATACAGCCATTGATAAGAAAAGTTATTTCTTATTTGGTTATTTTTTCATATTTTTATTAAAGATTTGAAAATACTTGCTAAAAAAATGAATAGTGTATTTATGAATGTCAGACAGTAATTAAAAATTGTATTGTTAAAAAATGTTGAATTTTTTTTAGAAGTTCATGAATAATCAAAAAGAGATTAAAATATTATCTGTTTCAAATGATAGTTTGATAGGCTTGAAACTCACTGATTATTTATTCGCTCACTTTTTTTCAGGAATAGATTTCAAAATCAAAACTGTAGAATTACGGGGCAAAAAAATAAAACTTCAAATATGGTAAGATGATATAACTGTTAATGCATTGCTCAAATTGATTTATAAAATATTGTGAAACTGAAATCTAAATCTAACTTTTCAGGGATACTGCTGGTCAAGAGCGGTTTCACACTATCACAACTTCTTATTACAGAGGTGCAATGGGTATAATGTTAGTGTATGACATAACAGCAGAAAAATCTTTTGAAAATATTGTTAATTGGTTGAGAAATATTGACGAGGTAAATTTTTAATATTTTTGCAAAAAAATTATGTGAGATTCATAAAAATAAATTTTTAAAACATTGTATTGCAGCATGCAAGTGAAAACGTCGAAAAAATGATCTTGGGAAATAAAAGCGACATGGAAGATAAACGCGTTGTGAGTACTGAAAAGGGAGAAAAAGTAAGTATAGCCATTTTGAATGAAAACCGAAACTAAAATTGAATCAATTATAATAAATTGATAAATTATGCCGATCTTTCAGATCGCTAGAGAGCATGGCATACGTTTTATGGAGACATCAGCAAAAGCCGACATCAACATCGATCGTGCCTTCCGTGAATTGGCAGAAGCAATATTTGACAAAACGCAAGGCAGAGATCCTCACGATGCACCAGACCGCGTACAGGTCGATCGCAGACAAGAAAAGACAAGCAGTCGTTGCTGCTGAATCAGTTTCATACTACATCGTTACCGCTGATAATAACTGACCGTTGTTCACTATGATTTACACAATTACGCTAATATTGCAGCCAGGAGCTGTCTGTAGTCATGCTGAAGAAACAAAGCAGACGCACTACCAATCATAAATTAGATATCCAAGTTCAAATACTCACTGATTCTCTTATTAACGATGCGTTTAATAGACGATTAATGCGTCGATGAATAAACGCGCAATAAGCTACCATACTTGCTTTAGTTTCGGCCGAACAAATTTTAATACTCTTCTATCTTAAGCTTGTTCTCTTTTCTATAACTTCTTTAACTGTGTTTACGCTCGATATTGTTCGTTTCTACTTATATATTGTATTAAAAACGATGAAACACGAGTGAATGTGCGCATATCTCATTATTATTCATAAATGTATTGTCGCACACATGCATTGAATCTCTTCACGAAGAAATACGCCTTGTATCAATGCGGTTTGTTTCGATTTTTGCTCTTACATTTATATAATATTACTGCTAGCAATCACATTAACAAAATAAATTCGCGTTAACTATATATTAATATTAATATGATTAACTCACGTAAGACTGTTCTCGATGACAATGTAGGAGGTTGTATTGTGATTTGTTGTATAGAAAGTAAGATTTTTCGTAATATTAATGTACAATTGAGCTGATACGCGATCGATGTCGTAAAATGTAATGAGTATTACTTATTTCAATGTCGTTTTCACCTTAAAAATATATGAAAAGACTTCTTGATGGAGAATGATTTTCTCTGCAAGTTTTTTTGTACATTGTATAGTTTAATCATCTAAAGATCATTTTGTACCATTCACGATGCTATACAACTCAACATGAAAATTGAGCTTATGCGAAAAGTAAGCCAACAAAATTCATATTTTTTTAATATTTTCGGTAGATAAAAATACTTAATTCATAAGTAAAATTTGATATGAAAAATATGTAAAGTTTCAAATAAACATGAAATTCAATTAATATGCGTGTCCTTTATACTAAATTACTTTATTTTTATGATAGAATTTCAGTAAAGAAAAATCATATTAATAAAAAATTTGAATTCTGTAATAATCAACCGTTTTTATTACAGAGGAAAAGTATAAGTAACACTTTTTTATTACAGTTCGCTCAACTAATATCTGTAGTTGGCACATGAAAAATGTCAAATAAGATGGTGCAAAATATTTATAGAAATAAATGAACATAATCATGTCAAAACAAATTTTTTATTATGGAAAAACAAATGAGAAGCAGTCTATTGTATACACTAATTTGTTCAACGTAGTAGAGTGTGTAAAATTATTTTGCACATCAATGACAATCGTCGATGTATTTTTATTTAAATTCATCCATTCGAGTCGATTTATTACAAGTTATTTTCATAAAATCTGACTTGAATTTATGAATATTATATTTGTGCGCGATGTGCCGTTCACGTCGCGATGCAATAAAGCTGACAGTTTCAGTGCGAAAGGCGTCGGTTGACAAAGACAAAGCTCACAAATTTCTTATATTTTACGAATAGAATATTTAATTATAAAATTATTGTTTGTATTTTATAATCTCTGATTTGTTGCAATCTAATATTGTGATCCTTCGTTACATATTAAGGCGAACTGAGTAATACTAGAAGTTAAAAAAACTGAGCCTTTGCTCTCGCCTGTTTTTCAAATTGCATAATAAAATAAAAACTTGGTAACAATGACTTTTATTTACTTTTAGGTTGTAGCATAATTTATTTTCGTGGATTATCCGTTTTACATTATAAATTCTATACAAGTCTTACTTAAAATTTATATTTTCTTTTATATCAAGGTACAACAGATTTGAAAAATTCTTATTCTCTATGTTCCTAAATTCTTTAAAATTGCAAAAACAGTTGGACCTTTGAAATACAAGTTGAAAATAGTTGTTTTCTTAAAAAATTAAAGTAAGGCTATCTAAAATTTTATAAAATATACATTCGGAATTAAGGAAACCAAAATCATAATTCAAAATTGACTTTTTATTAAATAAATTATTAAACTATCCTATTGTGAACGATAATAAAAAAATATTTTTATAATTTTGTACCAAAAAAGATTTGTTCTATTAACAATCAATAGTCGTTTCAATAGTTTTTTTAATTTTATAAATGTGTCCATATAATTAACTTAATATCATACAGTAAGTATCATAAGCATAAGACACTTTCTCTTATCGTACACCAACATTTAATCAAGTGATTACATATTCATTTTTAACAAGATGATGTAATGTTAATGGCGAAAAATTTACTATTTAATATGACGAATAGTAAAAGCAACGAAAGTCAAAGTAAAATGCTATTATTAACCGTCTCTCTAGTTATACATATTATTTAATTACCTAGAGACAATCATAATCGTTAACATGTAATCATACTTTTTTACAATGAGACATTTAAAGTTGAAATACTAGATAAAATTTGTTTGAGTTTTTTTTTTAATTTTTTATTTCCAATTGGTAGTTATGATTTTAGATACTTAGATATTTATATTCACTTTCAAAAACTTCAAATCAATGATCAATTACTGATTGTTTGATCAGTATTAATTAATGAATACTTTACAAGAAGAGAAATTTATTAAACTTATTGTAAAATTATACAAATCTTATTATAATAGTTACATGTACTCCAAGTTATCAAAAAACTACTCCGTCAAAAAATTTGGCAGAACTAATAAAAAAAATGAAAAAAGAAAGTAGTATTAATATGAAACGATCTCATACAAAATTTTCGTTGCAATATTCAAATATTAATACAAGAAGTACCTTAATGGTTTCATTTTACTTAACTAAAATCAAAATAATAGAAGTCATTATAACAGGAAACTTTTCATAACTCATCATGCTGTATAAATATGTCATATGTTATACTTGAATTATTTCTTAAACCAGAATACTTAGAAACACACGTAGTAAATTTATACACACAAACAGATTTCCAATATTTGTGATTTCAATGATTTATGAAATTTATAACGTTAATTATGCATTTAGTCTCGCGAGCTAGCGCTTAAAATACTTAAGATGTAGATAAAGATATTCACAATGTCTAGATACAAATTTAATGATGCAAAAATGTACTCTTCAGGTGATAGCGAATACTTATGTTTTCCTCCAAGCATCAATTGTGTGTCATAAACGAGATAGAAGGAGAAAAGTAGAGCTCCAAAAGAACTATATACAATAGTTACTGTTTTTCCATGGTAAAATATGGTAATTAATCCAAAGATCATAAGAACTATGGCAGCGACGAAAAGGTATGTACCCATTCCAGTAAAATCGTATTTTGTTTGGAATGCAAACAAAGTCAAGGAAAAGCAAATTACAACTGTTATCCCAACAGCCATCAAAACCTAAAAAAGTGTAATGATCATGATATTAATATGAAGATGAATATACTCATTATTTTACAACAATAAAATATTAAGTATATACTCACATATTTTTCATCGTGCATAGAAGAAACAAAACCAAGTAGAACAGCTTCAGCAATAGTGAAAATCATTAAAAATATAAAGTTCATTGGAGCTTGACGGCGAACATTTGTACAGCAGGCCATGGCAATTAGTAAAACAAACGTTACAATCATGCAAATCCATACAATTTCCGTATGTTGAAGTGCAAACTGTTTTGCATTAGCATTGAATGAAAAAAGTGCTACCATTCCAAACGTGATGAGAAGTTGCAGCATTAAGATTGAGTAAACTTTCCTGTAATAATTCAATGAATATTAATTTTTAAAATTAATTTCATATAATTAAAATCATAGATTAAATTGTAAAATACAATCATAATGAAACTTGCCTGATAAATCCTTGTCTAATAGATACATCATTAAAAGCGAACCCCTTGACCTCATCGGCCATGGGGTCCTCTGCATAATTAGTCCCATACATCGCGCCCATACCACCTTGTGGTGGAACGTGTCCGTAAGGGGCAGTAGGAGGTGGAACAGCAAATCCCGGACCTGCAAAAGAAACCAATAATTTAGTATAATAATGTATATATAGGATTTAAGATTTATAATGGTACTGATGAATGTACCTGGTGGTGGAGGATAACCACCTGGATAGCCTGGATTACCTCCTGGATAACCTGGATTAGCACCTGGTGGATAGGGTGGGTAACCTGAAACAAGATATTATTAGAAATTGCACTCTCTACAGTATTGGTTCAGCGAGTATGAAGTTATGACATAATGTTAAAATGTTAAAAAGAACTCATGAGTATGTAAAATTTTTATTAATGAATGCAGTATTACTCAAATAGCAGTACTAATTTCTAATTACAAAGAAAAAGCTAACGATTTTTACTTAATGCGACGATAAAATACAAACAAAAAAAAAATTAAAAAACCTTGTTGGCCAGGGTAGAAACCACCACCAGGATTGTTCTGCCAATTTGCCATCTTTCCTAGCTGAAAAAAATATTAAGATTAGGCTAATTTAATCAACTAATTAATAGCTATATTTCAAGTAAGATAATCTGCATTAAAAAGTCAAGTTTTAAGTATCTAAGTATAAACTCTTTACAGTTAGAGTATAATTTAATACTTATCAGTTGTTCTTGATAAAGCAATGAATGAATCGTTCAAACAATGTATCATTAAGCTCAACTTGTGATTTTATTGTAAATTTGCAAATGATTTGTGAGCATGTGTCCATTTTGAATGGTAATTACTTAATAAATGTGCAGAAGCAATGATGATACATAAACACAAAATCAAATTCAAGATAATTCCAAGAATTAATAATTTTTAGCTGGCGCATTTGTAATTCGGGAAGTTTATTTCTTCTAGATTATATCGACTTCAATTTTTACATGTGTGGGAAAAGAAAATCCTTTATAAATATAAAATGCAATTTCTACTGCATTACTCAATCCACGCCGATCGAATGAAAACAAGTCGGTTACGCAGTACGCCACAAGTACATAAGATATCTCCCGAACATGAAACGTCAATATTCAAATGCACAGGTTGCATTATGGATTAGTATTATTTTCGTAAAGGCCAAGCGACGCGATCTCTTAAACGATCGGGCGAAGCTCGCGACAAAACAAATTCGATCGATTATTTTTAGTCAAACTAAATTTGAAGTTTGCTCGTATCATTTTGACCGAGTAACATTTTTTGTACTATATTATGTGCATGTCAAATGGCTCGATCAATTATTCATAAGTATTGCCGGCGAGTGTATCCCACCACTGACGAAGCACTGGAATCGGTTGAAAAACGTGTCTCTCCAAAGCCAAGTTTATGCACGAGCGTGTCGTGCGTAGACCAATTTCATGCACGAAGTCGCGATGTGTTACGTAAAAAGCATTATCTGTACCTGTAATAACGTCGCGTTCGTACAAGTCTACATATTCTTTGAGCATCGTGGCGTTATCGCGGTGTGAGTCAAAGCTTATATAGAGATGGCTTAATCTGCGCACACGTAGGGCACACGTAAACGTTGATCGTTGACATTAGAGCTCACGACGTGAGTCATGCGTTTAATTTTATAAAATGAGCAGGGCATATTCATCGTAGCGCATAATACGCAGACGGATGTGTACGCAGGGAAACGCTGCGGCGCACTTGTAAGTCTTGGATTTCTCTGCTCGCCGCTTCAAGCTGGGGTCTGGTGCAATGAACTTTCGTTCCAAAGTTAGCGTCGGTGCGTGAAAAAAAGCAGCCACGCTTTGTTGTGCATTACACGTTAACGCGAACAGTGGCTCAAGGCCGCGTCGTCGAGTGTCAACAATGGCCCGGATTCAAGGCCACGCTAATTCATGCCCACGCACAATTATGATCGCAATGAGGCCAATAAAAAAAGAATAGAACTCGTCGTCGTAAAAAGGCAATTATTTAGTATCGAAAAAATAAAAATCGATTAGATTGCGTTAATAGGAGTAATGTCATCGCCGGTAAAGGCTTCGTAAATAGTTGAGTTTTTTGAAAAACAAAGTCATTATCCGTCTGTGGAGCTCCAAAAAGCATAACTAGCGGAAATCTTGAGCGTCAGAAAGGCCGAAAAATGTACGAAAGATGCATACGTGCTTATAAAATAGGCCACTTGTACTCGGAGCAGCGTTTGAAAGATAACACAAAAGCTGTCATGTACGATAAACAAGTATACTGCAAGTTTCCAGAAAGACGCGAAGAAAGCTTATTATCAACGTAATATAAAGTGTCGCAATGTCGCGCACGAGTCGCTCTAAGAACACAAGGCACACGAGGGGATTTCCCTGTACGATGACGCAGGTGCGTGTGCCTGTCTATACGACGCGCGTATTGTTTTACGCGTCTATTGCTCCAATGCTGCTTTGCTCTATGGATGTGTCGTAAACACGGGCGCGACACACACACGCATAAATAAAATAAAGAACAACAAGAACAAAATGCAGCACGAGACCGTCGTTACGTATAGACTTGTAGTGGCGGCCATCAAGATCGGCGTTCGTCGATGCGGTCGGCTATAACGGCGCACGTTCGCGTGTGTGTGTATGCGTGCGAAATCCGAGTAGTCGCGCGAACGAAATGCAATAAAAATTACAGAATGTAGGTAATGCACGCGCCTTCGAAGTAGGTGAGTATACGCGTAGATAGATCAAAGTCCGTCTTGCGCGAGCTGACGAAATAAGCGCCAGTGCGGTGGTGGCTTCTTGGGCGGACGACGCTGGAAAACCCGACCACGCTACTGGATTATATACTGATGTAAATGCAAAACAATGTATATACATGATGCCGCAGACAATCGCTCACGTGTAGCAGCGCACAATGGTCTAATTTTACTTGTATAGGATATAATTATTACACGAATACAGGAAGCGAATCGAAGCATCAACAGGTTCGAATACAGAGGCATCAAAATATTGTACAGCACATATATATATATACGTGAAAGCACAAAAAGCGTCTGGGTATGTAAGCTTATAGGTGTGTACATTATCTATGCGTGTAGGTATGAGCTGGTTTCTGGTGTGTCGAGCCGTTTAGAATTGCGATCGGCTGCTGCCGCCGCCGACGTGAATCCCTGCCGAGCAGACATTATGTAAATTGCACGAAAGGTGTGCTTCGATGGGTATTAAAAGTCTTCGTAAACGCGACAAGGTAGGCAAGTTTATAATAACACGACAACGAATTCGGCGATGCGTCATAGCAAGTCGACGTACACACGCACACACACCAGCGTAAAGTACGTCGCGTTTTCAAGTACATTCTGGAACTTGGCTCTGTGTGGGTGGTCGATACAGCTATAAAAGTCTATATGCGTAGCAGCATGTGTTGAGTTAACAGTTTGCGTGTATCGTGCATGTGTTTTAAAGTACAAAGCGTCTGCGAGCTGTATGGCCGTTGTTTACCTTGCTTTTTGCTTTTTCCTTCTTCTCTCTTTCTCTCTTGCGGTCCGATCGATGAAACCGTCGACAAGGGCGATCTTCTAGGTTACTTTTTCTTGCACAAGATTCGGTGATAAGCGATTCCCGACACTGTACGTGTACTTAGATACGAACTGTATCAATGTTGAGTCAAGAAAAAAAAACAACTCAGCGCGACGTCGACACCTCGACTACTGACTCGTTACTGAATATTCTCGAGTTGCCGAGGCTGTCGCTATAGTTGGTTGGGGCGGCAGGCAGCGCCGCCGCGTGATATTTGCGCTGCGCGTACGGTTTCTGCGCAACGCAAAACACACATGACGTCAACTTACGATGCAAACGCGATTCTCCCAAACGGCAAACCCTATGGGCCGTGGGTTATTTTTTGCTGCGGGAACGACTGCTGGAATTATATGAATAGCGTGGTGCCGATGGAATCTCTGCACGCTAGCGTCGTCTGCAGCCAATGCAGACTGCGCGAAATGCGATCGATCCCGATTTGCCGCGAGGTCGCGACTTTGTTTGTCATTAGCATCGATTTGTTTTTTTTTTCACATCCCTGTCAAAACATGAAAATAGACTCACATGTGCAGCAGTTGTAATTTAAAAATAATAAATGCTTACGGCAGGATCAATGTTTTCTTTACATAATTAAACCTGCTGACAATTTTAAAATGCACCTAATTTATAAGTTTATCGAATGCAAACGACATGGATGCCAGTGACAAAACAAATATAAATTAGGCTTTTCATTGATTAATCAGCTCGTAAGCCCGATAACTCGAATCGATCGCATTCGTGGTTTCGGTAGTTTCATGAAAAAAAAATCTTGGAGCGAGTTTTGTCGCGTTGCGTGGGCGGACCGGTGTATGTAGTGCAGAAATACCAGAGCTGGCCGGTCTGGCATGTCAGACAACGTCGTGGCCAGGTTAGAACGGCTGATCGAGCAGTGATTTCTACTGGCAGTCGAAGATCATGGCTAGAGCCAAGAAGAAATTAGCAAAACGGCAGCTAGTATTTTGTAATTTCGCTAGATAGCTCATGAGAGCTGCTGGTATTGAGTCGTCGTCGCCTGAAACACCGCCTCGTCGACGATGTACAACTCGTTGAATCCTCCGCGATCTAACGCGCCTATCGACACCGTCCTCAGAAACATCAAACTCAAGTACGTGTTCGCTTGTATACTTGCTATTCTCGTCGTTACGTGCTTCATCGGCCTCACGCCAATTTGTGCTGGTAAGTTTTTTAAAAAGTTTTTTTCATGCGACACACTCGCTTTCACGAAGGTTATAGGACACTTGTTTACATATTTTTGTCTAAACTCCTTTTCATTTTGATTTTCAGAAGACTGCAACTGTGATAAGTATGAAGATACTGCAAAATTAAACCATTTGCCCAGTAAGCAAATTCAAAAGCATCACAAACATCGTTTAGCTGTATTAGTGCCATTTCGAGACCGCTTTGACGAGTTGCTTATGTTTGCACCTCACATGAAAGAGTTTCTTGATAAGCAAAATTTAGATTATCATATATTCATATTGAATCAGGTTGGGCTCTGTGAAATAATGACTGAATAAATGAATAAATGAAAGCTTAAAGAGAATTTAACTCATTTATTTATATTTTCAGATAGATAAATTTAGATTTAATCGAGCATCACTTATTAATGTTGGTTTTTTGGAAACAAGAAAGGAATTTGATTATATTGCAATGCATGATGTTGATCTTCTACCTATGAATGATAAACTACATTACTATTATCCAAGAGAAGGTCCTCTACATATTTCATCACCAACGCTACATCCTCGTTATCATTATGAAACATTTATTGGAGGGATTTTACTACTTAATAGGTAATTTATATACTCTATATTATATTTATTGAATTTTTTTAGCTATTTTAAGTTAACAATTCATTACTATACAGGGAACACTTTGAACAAGTTAATGGAATGTCAAATAAATATTGGGGGTGGGGACTGGAAGATGATGAATTTTATGTGAGATTAAAAGAGGCTGGATTAAATGTGACAAGGCCTCCAAATCTTTCTACAGGAAAGGAGAAAACTTTTAAGTAAGCATTGGCTCAATCATTTTCATAATCTGTGATCTAAATTGTTATTAATTAATAAATAATCTTATTTTAGACATGTTCACAATAGAAACCATAGGAAAAGAGATATGGTCAAATGTTTTAATCAGAGAGAAGTAACACGCAGGAGAGATAGACAGACTGGATTGAACAATGTATCTTACAAATTAGAAAAATCAATCAATGTTACGATAGGCAATACTGAATTGACAATTCTCAATGTTTTATTGAATTGCGATGAAGCCATTTCACCGTGGTGTTTATGTTCTACCAAATAAATTGTGACTCGAGAAAAAAGACTTAGACTTTTAAAATTTTAATTAGGAAAACTAACTTTGAGTTGAAATTGAATATCTTATTCTACAAATGAAATAGGCAGTTAATTGTCTTTGTTTAACACGTTGTTACGATATTGTACAGTTTTATGTAATAGCAATAAGCCAATAAATGTTGCGGCCAATGATATATAAAATAAAGCCGAATTTACATGAGGTATATTAAATATTTGTTCTTTGTTTCAAAGACGTTACTTTTATCACGATAATACCGAGTGCACAATTGTTGTCAATTATACCAATTGTAAAACAAGTGAATCTGGAAAATCGATTAACCTAATATCGTAGATAAAAATGATAAATATAACATCGGTATAATTAAAATGCCTATCCCGGCAAACGTAGTGCAATGTTTAAAGTATCTCGACCGTGAAAAGGCGAGGCACATCGAAGAGCTTCGAAATTTAATCAGCATCGCGAATGTCTCGTCGGATCCGAACGCCGGCAAGCAGCTGTCGAAAGTGGTCCAATGGATGTCGAACAGGCTGAAGGGCCTCGGCTTCCAAGTGGTTCTTCACGAATCCGGCGACGACAAGGACGAGGCAAGCCCTTAACTCTTATATTCAGCTGCCGATCGACGAACGAAACAGGAATTAGTCATAGCGATCGAAAAATCCACCGCAGGGCCACCATCCGCTGATAATCATCGGTAGCCTCGGCAAGGACCCGAAGAAAGTCACGCTGCTGTACTACTGCCACCTGGACGTGCTGAAAGTCCGCCGCTACAAGTGGATCCACGACCCGTACGAGCTCACGGAGGAGGAGGACGGCAAACTGGTGGGGCGGGGCGCGGCCAAGATGAAGGGTCCCCTGCTGTGCTTCCTGCACGCGATCGAGGCGTACCGCGAGCTCGGCATCGAGCTGCCCATCAACCTGAAGATCGTGTGCGAGTCGATGCACGAGTGCAAGAGTCGCGGCCTGAGCCAAGTGCTGGAGCAGCTCAAGTCGACCTTCCTGGCCGACGTCGACTGCATCGCCCTGAACGAGAGCCGCTGGATCGGCAAGAGTCACCCGTGCATCGTCTACGGCATGCGGGGCGTCTGCTACTTCGACCTGAAGATCTCGGGCCCGAGAAGGAGCCTGGCCAGCGGCGATTACGGGGGCGTAGTGCGCGAGCCCATGTCCGACCTGCTGCACATCCTCAGGAGCCTCGTGGACCCGTTCGGCAACGTGAAGATGAGCAGCCTGAGCAGCGACGTGCAGCCCGTGACCCCCGACGAGGAGTCCTTCTATCACAAGATCAAGACCAACAAGAACGAGTACCGGGCCAACGTCGGCGTCAACAAGCTCGGCCACGACGAGAACCTCAAGCTCGTGCTCATGCACGTCTGGCGCTATCCCTGGTTCAATCTGCACTTCATCAACACGGCCAACTGCGTCAGTCTGCTCGACATACCCAACGAGATTCACGCCCGATTTTCCATTCGGTATTGAGAAAAGACAATTGTAATCGATGCAATCGTAATCGGCAATCGATCATAAAAGTCGATCGTTGGCGCAGGACGGTGCCGAATCAGAAGCACGAGCGCATCGTGAAGCAGACCCTGGAGGCGATCGACCGATGCGTGGCCGAGCTCGAGACACCGAATCGCGTCGAGGTCAAGTCGGAGAACTGTTTGGACCCGTGGGTGGAGGACCACGACCACTGGAACTACGAGGCGGCCAATCTGGCCATCAGGCAGGTCTACAAGGAGGAGGCGAGCTTCATTCGCGAGGGCAACGGCTTCCCCACCCTGCTGAAGCTTCGGGACGCGATGCCGGGCCGCAACATACTCGTGCTGCCGATCGTCGACTGCGAGTCCAAGGCCCATCGCTCCGGCGAGAACATCTCCAAGCACTGCTACGTGGAGGGCGGCAAGCTGTTCGCCGCCTACTTCGCGGCGCTGGCCGAGCGCGCGCCCAAGAGAACATCGTCCAAGTCCAACCGATCGTCGTCTCAGTCCAATAAGCCCTCCTCCGCGGCTTGTCGCCACAAGATGTATTGATTATGTACGCGGCTACTTCGTTCATTTTCAACGACGAAATATATATTACTTTTAATACTTTAAACGTCCAAATGTGTATAATTATTTTAACGAATTGGTCTCGAGTGCGCAGCTGTGTAGATACTCGATCGACGCGTAAATCATGTATTTATCAATAGTTCAAGGCGGCTTATATAAATTATGCAATGAATTAAAATATCCGAAGCGATAAGGCACACATATAGACACGAGAGAGCGATGACGATTACAAACACTCGAAAGAATAATACGCATTAAGATGATACACACTTGAAAATCCGTGCAATCTCGAGACGATCAGCGACTATAATAATATATTATAACTATATATACACACACAGACGATCGGCCAGAGCGGCAGCAGATGCGCACATGTGCATACATATACATCGATGTAAAACCAGTTTTTCCGCCTAACTGCCGACGCAAACATTGTCCCGAACGAGCTGCTCTCGTCGCGATCGAGCGCATCGGCAATTCTCAGTATACAGCGAGCGGAGCTGCACAGAGATCGTTTTATATACCGAGTTGTATTCCGCGAAAAATCGCCATGGAGCTGTCCGGGCTCTTGTTTCTGACGTGCTGCTGCCTCGTCGCCGGGGTCGGGGCCTACAACCCACCCATGGCCACCGTCGAGCCGTTAAAACCCGCTGGAATACGAGTCTCGATTCCGCGTGAGTATCTCATCGATCGAACCCGTGTCTAGTCAAGTACTATATTAATAAGATTGTTGGCGCAGACGAGAGCGGCATCAGCCTCGTGGCCTTCCACATCAACATCAACGAGGACTTTTACGCCCTCGAGGCCGGCATGATCGCCCGCGACATCATCAAGCAGCGCAACGGCCGATGGGTCTATCAGGACAAGACGACCCAGCTGCAGGAGAACGACGTCGTCTACTACTGGGTCCACGTGGTCTATCGGGGCCTCGGCTACAATCTCCTCAATCAGGAGCACAGAGTCAAGGGTGAATGCGCCGATCGCCGTATAAAATATTCCTCGTGTATAATTCGATTTTATATCCGTAGACTTTTACGATTACAACGGCAACAAGATCCAGAGCGTCGTCGGTCTCATCGACGAGAGGGACATGCCCGAGCTGGAAAATAATTCGGGAAACAGCGGCAACGGCGAGTGCCGCTCGCTCTCGGCCACCAAGCTCTACGACTCGTTCGGCTCGCGACAGACGTCCCCGTGCGCGGGCAAGCTCGTCTTCAGCGAAGACTTTCGCTCGTCCGACGCCCAGTGGACGACCCTCGAGCAGTTCAATACGGCGCCGGTACGACCACCGATCGATACATTTAATCGATTTTACTTTTTCATCCGTTTTATTTTTATCAGGATTACGAGTTTGTCGTTTATCGAGATTCGCCGAGAAACGTGAAAATAAGAAACGGCCTGAAATTGACGCCGACTTTGCTGTCGGAAGAGTCCAACGATACCTTCGTCAGATACGGAGAGCTCAAGTTGAACAAGTGAGCGTCGTATCGATTGTTCGTTATCGGGATCTTTCGAAATTCAAATCAATTATTTCTTTTTTTTTCGGCAGATGTACGGGCAATCCAAGAGGTAGCGATTGCCTGCGCAAAGGAGTCCACTGGAATATATTGCCACCGGTGGCTTCGGGTCGTCTCAATACCAAGAAATCCTTCAACTTTCAGTACGGAAAAGTCGAGATCAGAGCCAAGCTTCCCAAAGGCGACTGGATTTATCCACGTAAATGATTTTTATCGCGTGCAAATCGCTACATACACGATCGAACACGGTCGATTTAAACGTTTTTTTTTTGTTTACCCAAGTGCTGATGCTGGAGACCGCGAAAGCAAATCCCAACGGGAGAAATCAAAACATCCGAATAGCCTCGTCGGCCGGAAACGTCGATCTGCGCTCCAAGGACGGCCTGGACATCAGCGGCCACGTACTCTGGGGCGGCGTCGTCGAGCAGGACACCCGCCAGCAGTTTCAGCGCGTCAACGAGTTCAGATCGACGAAGGTCGGCGAGAATCCCTGGTCCGAGGCCTATCACACCTACGAGTTGATCTGGACCCTCGACCGAATCAGTCTCAAGGTCGACGGTCAAGTTTACGACGAGAGATCCGTCAACGTGCCCAACGACACCCCGGTAAAGATCGATCGTTATCGACTCCGCTACCGCATCGGTTGTCTCTTACTAATTTTTTGCTCCGCAGTTCTTCTTGACGCTTGGCCTGGCCGTCGGAGGCTTGTCCGAGTTCCCCGATTACTGCACGAGCTCGGGATCCGTCAAGCCCTGGAGGAACATCGGCGCCAAGGCGGTTCTGAATTTCTACACGTCGCAGGACACTTGGCGCAGGACCTGGACGGCCGACGACGAGTCCTTGAAGGTCGATTACGTGAAAATCTATGCTTTGTAGACGAACTCACCGTTGAACGACCTTTGTACATATGCGCTGAATTTTCATCAAATGCCATATTTTTCATGATAAAACCAACTTATCTTATACATATAGACTCTATTGTCGCGAGAAAATTTAAACGCATACTACATTTTGCATACGTTGATTGCGTTGATCATTTCAAATACATCCCTTGTGTACACTGTGCTGAGTTTATTTTTCATTGAAAACCACATTCCTCAGAATTATGAAAAATGAAGGTGGCGATCTACTTTGTTTGAATCTTACTGAAGTCGCTGTACTGGCACTTATTTTGACGGACAAGTCATTGGTCGGTGTACTTATTGTTTGGAACCGCTAGATCGTAACATTTGTAGATATTTACTCATTTTTGTTGTAATGGTTATAAAATTCAATATCAAGATCAGAATCGCATCGTAGATAAGTCCTATTGCGAAAATTGAGTCTCACGCAGAAATTGAACTATTGCAATTAAACAGCACGAGACGAGGCTCGTAGTAGTACATTGAGAGGATGAATCTCTTATGCCTGTAACAAGTTTTGTCATTAAAAAAATAACAAGAGAATTATTTTTCCATCCAGGAACCAATAATAGTTTTTGCGATATTTCAAATTTGGCGCTTACAAAATAGCAAGATGATACGCACATGATTGTTAGCAGAAGCATTAGTAACTATTATTGTCAGTCTCAACTCTCGGTACTGTGGTCCGTGTGATGTGTCAGTGGTAAGCAAATATCTGAGGCACGTGTTGCGAATTGTCGGCACTGCGGGAGCCACGATATACAAAGGTATTTATACTTACCGTTTGGAGGCTTGAATTGCGAATAGCTCGACTCGCGGTAAAAAATCTTGATATCGATCGAACTCGATCCTATATCTTTGTGCTTGCAGAATACGCATCAGGTCAGTAGGCGCATATATCCCTCTCGTCAAAAAGCAAAGATTTGGTCATTACCATTCAGATCCAGTGTTCTGCTATACAAGTAGAGATTCGATACTATCTGAAATGCCGGGCAATATTTACACATTGGATCAGTACTTTGAGTTGGAGACAAGTATGTCGAACTACCGACAAACTCGAGAAGAATTAGAAAGGAAAAAAAAAGCTAAAGAAATAATTCTGCCAAAAGATGATTCAGTAGTTAAAGAAATTTTGTGGCGTTTAGAGCAACCTACTAGTTTATTTGCCGAAGGACCGGATGCCATGAGACGTCATCTACGAAAATTAATGTCTTGTTCAGGGACGGATGCCATTAAGAAAAGAGTTAACGAGAGATTAAAGCGAATTCAGGAGAATCTAGACAAAATTTGGTCTAATGAACATCCAGATTCACTCAGATTAGTACGATTATGGTTCTCAAATAGTGCCTGTATCCTATAGTGAATTAAGTCCAGATTTTCAAATATTAACCACAGCCTCTCGATCAGCTTTATGCAGTTTATGTAGTTTGGGCCAGATTGTAGTAAGTTAAGAACACTGAAAAGTCTTTGTAGCAATGTACATGTAAGCTGTATTACATTTCTATTCAAAGCGGATACAACACAAAAAATATGTAAGATACACGTTTTAGCTGACCGTGTGTGGAGGCAGAAGTGGTAAAAAACTTTTAACAAACATTGACAGTCAACTGGTTCAAGTGACCACTATTGTTAAAACACCAAAAAGGCAATGGTTACTATTTGATCACCACTTCATACGATAAAAAGGCAAAAATAATTTGCCAGCTACACTTATACCAAACCACTGATACCAAAAATCTTAGTCTGTCACCATGATGAAGTAATGTCTTTTGACGTATCTGGTGAAATACATTGCAACTATGTCTTTTGATACAACTCTTAAGCTATGGGTGCCATATAAATTTTAATAATCAATGCTTTTGATTACTTTGTTCATATTCATAAGACTTTAGTACTTTGATACTATTCACATGTTCATAAAACTTCAATACTTTGTACATAATATGCATATTTTTATGAGAAATAAATTTTAAGTACATATTATACATTTTTTATTCTTTTCAATTTTTCTTAATTATTACCTCTTAATTTTTAAAATTTTTTCTTTATGAGTTCTTTTAAAATCGATTAAAGTATTACAACCAGTATTAATGTCGCTTTTTGCGGTCGGTTAGAACTTTTCAGCACCAAAACGACAAGTGCTCTTACATGTTTGATAATTATTTATTCGTTATTTTCTTATTTTAATTGGCATGACCTTGACTTTAACTCTTCGGAATATTAATTAATAAAATCGCAAATTTTTGAAATTTATCGGCAACTATATTTATCAACATCGTCGTTGCAATTCAATTTTTATCCGTTCAAGTCGTTTTTATATTGTTAAATTGTCATTTGCATTAATATAAGCCGCTAAAAATGCATTCGAGATAGATAACTACCCCGCGCGTGTGAACCCTCAATTCAAACGCGTATCATCACTTCCTCATTCCTCTTTCTCTCTAACTGTCGCGATCCTTCCTTTCTTTGTTTTGTTCAAAGGACTACACTCTAAAAGATAAAGCTAAAGAAAGATAAAAAGGAGAGTGAAATAGACTCGATTGGTATTGTATAATGTGATGATGCATCTTACAGCGAATCAAGGTGTTATGTTTTACAAAAGCCACCGATATTATTCTGCATCAAGAAATATTGCCTTACCACTTGCGGTTATGTGCGCTCGTGAGTATGGCCAGCTGGCAGTCGAATTTTAAAAACAAACAACTCAAGAGACGAATGCTGTCAGTCAGTTTGTTGTGATTCACTTTGCATGATGCAGTTTTATTTTGAAAATTGCTGTGTACCTCTTACAAATGATTAATTATAGAACGGAATGGCCTTTTTCATGTGTTTATTTGCCATAAACTGAATAAAGTAACAATGACAGCTTTAGGAGTTATTGCCAAGTCAATAGAAAATTTGCGTACCTTACAACTTCAAGAATCCTTATCATCTGATCATGATACCAAGTGTGTAAATGTTTATTAACTCAGTATTTAATTAACGAATCAAGTTTTACTAAACATTTCCATTTTTCATTCTTAGGAAAAAAGAAAAAATTGCCAATTGTTTGTCTTTGACAAATAATGTAACTCTGACAGTTGTCAAATCTGCACCTCAAGTTCTGAATCTTTCAATAGAAACTTTGCTTTGCTTATGTGATGATTTTGATGCTGATATTAGAACAGTAGCTGATGAATGCCTTAATAAAATTATTAAGGTAAATATTCATGATAGTTTTGAAAAAAAAAAATGACTACAATTGTTGTTTCTTCTGCAGGCAACTGTTGAAAGTTATGTGCTCAAAATACAATTTGAGTTGTACCGTGAAATTAAAAGGAATGGTGCAGCACGGTGCTTAAAAGCAGCTTTGTGGAGATTTGGTTTGCTCAGCCATATGATAAGGCCAGTAAAAGCCAAAGTTTTTGCTTCGCAGCTGACACCATGTATTTTAGAAATAGTCAAACGTAAAGAAGATACAGTATTAGAAACTTTATCTCAATCATTAACGTTAATTTTAAAAACGTTAGGTCACTATCTTGCAGACAAGGATGTACAGGTAATTCTTTTTTATAGGTTTAGCAGTTTATATTAAATAGATTTATCATATTTCAATTATAATTCAGGTTTTACTCAAAGCATTTTTTCAAAATATTGCATCTAATGAGGCTACCATCAGAAGAAGTGCAGCTAATATGATTGTAGCAATGTGTGTAAATTGTCGTAAGCCTCCAAAATTTTTTAACTTTGTTGTAGAACATTTATTAGGTAATTATTTTTCATTAAAAAGTATAATGTAATAAATTGTAAGCAGTGAAGTAATATTTAAATTTTTTTTAGATGTTCTATCTCAAGAATCTGAAACAAGTACTGATGAAGTACAAAAAGCAGAAAATATGAATTCTATTTTTGGAGTTTTTACATGTTTAAGACTAATAATACCTAATATTGATTCAAAATCAACCATAACAGAAAATTTTAATTCAGATCACATTCTAGAACATTATATTTGCATTTATGAATTGTGCTTATATTATGCTAAATTTTATTCAAATCATAATGTGATAAATGCTGCATTAGAAACTTTGGCTCAATTGCTTCAGAATCCTCCAGAAAATGTTATTAGAGTGTTGTTGTCAAAAGATGGTATAGCTCATCGAATTAATAAATTAAAAGATCATGGAAAACAGTGGTCCAGTAAAATAAGTTTATCAACAACAGTTATGTCATCAGAAGATTTTGGATCTACCACTAATCTTTTTGAAAATGATATAGACATTCCAGAAATAAATCCAAAAGTAGAAAAATGGATGACTGATAGTGTAGATGTTTCAACAAATTTTCAAAAAACAATGGGCAAAATCGTTTCATTTAATTCTAGTCAGATCATTGATGCCAAAGAAATGGAGGACTATAGTGGACTTCATATTGGAAGTATAAATAGTAAGTTAAAAAAAGTTTGAATTTTAAATTCTTATGACTAAAAAATAATCCTAAATTTTGATACTTACAGCAGAAGATAATGATCTAGAAAGTAATGCAAGTAGTGAGCCGTCTCGCATAGAAAAACCAAGTGAACTAAGTTTACCTACTAGTCAAGATCAATTAAATTCAGAAATCGAAGAAGATTCACCGTCGACTTATTACAACCTCGACGATACGATTCACAATAATGTTCAAGAGTACATGTGTAAACGTGGTGAATTAACAATCGGTAACATCAACGATTCTGCACCAGCTCTAAGATACTGCTGTCGTCTTGTAGCCTCTTCTTTTCTTTTAACTGGCGTACCTGGTGAAATAGTTTCCGACGATTTGTTCAGAGTAAGTGTTAAATCACTAGCTCTTAGTTGTTTGGCTGGGGTTCTACGACTTGTACCAGAGATGCTGAACGAAAAATTAGAAACTACCAATGGCGAAAGCCAAATAATTTCAGATGTATTGGAGTTTGCAAAACATCAAGATCCACAAATCAGGGGAAACGTAGTGCTTTTGATAGCAAATTACTTGAGAAGTGTTTTAGAAAACAAAGATGTTCTATTGAAACATTCTGAATTAGTTGACTTCAAAAGGCTGACAAATTCTATAGTAGAGGTAATTTTCCCCAATTGTTGTCTCTTATAATATTTCTAACATAATTTTTTATTTGTCAGGGTCTCGAGGATGAATCTGCAACAACATGTCGTCAAAGTCTCAGCGCAGTCAGTGTACTTTTGCCAACTTTACTAGAATCTGCGCAGAGCCTTCATGCAATCAGCATGTTAGAAACTTTACCATGTTTAGCGAATAATCCGTACTTCCTGGTGAAAATAAAACTAGCGGAAGTGGTTTGTGAACTCCCTTATACAACGATCGAGCACGTATGTTCGGATTTGAAGTTTCAAGACAAAGTCGTCGATATTTTGTTGAAATTTTTGGTCGACGTAGATCAGCGAGTCCGAAAGGCTGCCAGCAATGCAATAGTCAAGTAAGAAAACACGATCGATCGAACCATTGAATAATAAAAATACTCGATGAAAAAAAATCGTATTTCAGGATCATTCCATGCTTGCACTTCAATCAAGCGCGAGAGGACGCCCTTACTCGTCGTGCGATGCAGTACACCGAGCATCACGTGGTGACGAGCATACAAGCTCCGATCGGCCCATCTCACAGCGTGCATCATCGTCTTCTGGTCGACAGTCTAATGCCGACATTCGCAGCTCTGTTTCATCGTCCTGTCGACGTTTCTCGCGATCACATGGTAGAAATCGACGAAGCCCTGTCGCGAATTCTGAACGTATTGGTCGAACGTCTGCTCATTCATTCGTCCAAGCAGTCCTCGTACGGCTACTGCGAGGCTCTCTATACTTTGAGCGAAACATATCTAACGAGTATCTATCACAGAGCCTGGGATTGTCACGTAGGTCCAAGAGGGCACAAAAGCAAGACGGAAAAAAAGAGATCCAATGCACGCAGCGATACAACCGAGCGTTTACCAGGTGCGTCAAATTCGCGAGATTTGATGATTTGATTTTTGAGAAGGATTAATGTTTAAATTTATTTTTAATAGATATAACGAGTGAACCTCTGATCCCATTGAGCAGTAGTCTTTTCTCTCAATCAATGATCTTATTGACGACTTCGCCACTTGGCTTGGACTTGTCGTTACATAGGCACCTGCTGCTACTCTCCAGTAATTTAGCAGCTGGTATCGCTTGCAGCAGCTTTCGTCATGAAGCGCAAAGACTCGAGCAAGAATCGGACTATAAGTACTGGAGTTTTTTTAAAGACAAGGAAACTTCGAGGAACATGGAGAACCTTTTGCAACATTTGCTGAGAATATTAAATATTTTTCAACACGTTATTGAAGATTTACCATCGGTTAGATAATTTTTCATTAGTGATAACTTTCTTGACAGTAGTTATGCACCAACAATTTTATTGTCTTTTCACAGCCGATTCCAAGCTCGAGCAAGTCAAATCTGGCCAATAATCTCTCCTCGCCAACGGCACAGTCACCCAAACGTAAACTCATGGAAGGCTCGTCTAAGTCCACGAAATCTTCGGAAAAAAGCAGCAGCGAATCTCAGCACCAAAGCCGACCCATCTTCCGCTTCAACAGCAAGGACCAGCTGGGCTCGCTAACCGGTCAAAGTCACTACTACCGCCTGTACGAATTAATGAGAACTGCTCACTCGAATTACCGCATAACGCTCGATCAATCCGCCAGCGAGCTGTATCTCGGCTTGCTGAACGCGTGCTTGCGAGCTTTGGCCCAAGTGCTGGAGGTAGCTACGGTCATCGAATCGAATCGCGTGGTCGAGGAAATACTTCATTACCTTCAATCGACGATGACGCTGCTACCCACGGCGACGATTCAATGCGTTCGCCAGCTTCTTAAAAGTCTCTTTGGCACGAATCTGGTCGCCAGGTGGTTCGAGATTCGAGAGTCCAGAAAATTAATCAACACCAAGTTGGCTTGGGACGACGACGACGATATCGAGCGGGACACCGGATTTTACGAGCAATGCTTTCAGAGACCGGCAAAAGTTATGAACGAAAGAATTAAGGAAATCGATAGCAATAGCAAAAATTGTAACGAACCGGATGTGGCCTACCGGTGAGTTTTCAAATTTTAAATATTCTCAAAATTTATTTCTCAAATCTCTCTATCTAATAATTTCAGTGTGGTAAAGTCAATTCAACGTACGGAGGATAAAAAATTGCCTGCGTTTCTTAAAATATTAAATCGCAACTCTGATCAAAACTCTGTAGGATCGTTCATACGTTTGTTCGAACCGCTGGTCATAAAATCCTTGATTCAATACACCATTACCAATTGTATCTCGCTGCAATGCGAAGTGTTGATGCTTCTGAGTCAACTGGTACAACTACGTATAAATTATTGTCTCATGGACTCGGATAAGATTTTCATCGGCTTTGTAATGAAGCAATTCGAGTTCATCGAAGACGGTCACATTCCACAGACAGAACTCTTACTCCCGAAAATTGTCGACTTTCTCGTGAGGCTGTCGTACGAGAAGTATCATTCAAAAATGATCATCGGAATGCCGAAAATTATACAGTTGTGCGATGGCTTGATGGCCAGTGGACAAGCGCCACAAACTCACTGCATCCCAGCATTGGTGCCTGTCGTGGAGGAAATGTTCCTCATGAAAAATCCGCCCTCCAACCCGAACGAGGAAAAAGAGCTCGAGACGACGAGAGAAGTATTGATGTCGATGATGTTGAGATTGGCCGAATATCCTGCAATAATCGAATTAATTGCGAGATGTCTTACCGAGTCGCGAGGTAGTAACTGCGGCAATGGAGAAGAAAAATGGAGAAGATGGTCGAGGCAGGCTTTAGATACGATACTCCCAATGCTGTCGTCCAGAAAAGTCCGATTGGAATTCAACGAAGCCAACTTTGCGTTGATAAAATTATTCTCTGCAGCATCGCCAACCGTATTCAGGCCCGTTGACCCGCTGCTCAAAGTGCTACTCGCTGTGCCTCCTTCGATCAACCAATCGTCGCACGATCTGCCGTCAGTTACTGTCGTGGACTTTCAACGATGGTTAGTCACCGTAAACTCCTCTCTGCTGGCTATCGTATCTTACGCCAAGGAGGAAGCGATGCTGTCGCGTTTGGCTGACGTGGCGATCACGTTTCCCGAATTGGCCGACATATTGATGCTCAAAAGCGATGTAAAACGTTCCCTCAGCGGCGATCCACTCAATGTTTCGGGGCGCATGGAGCCTGAACTAATTATTCCGCCGGAAAGAATATTGGCCAGATTTTTGTTACGAGCCGTCGAAATGATTGCTACGGTCCTCCTCGATGTCATTCAAGGATCGGCTGTTAAATTCTTAAACTGTCAAGGCGATTTCAAAGATGAAAACCAGCTCGTGCAGCAGTCTGGATTATTTTTGCAACTGTGCATTCACATGTTCGAGACGGGAAGTCATTGCAAGGTTGCGAATGCCAGTATGCAATTGCTGAGTGGTAGAGACATTCCTGAAAATGAACAGTTTTCACTGGATCATTCGAACGCGGCCATGATATCGATTGGAAAAAATTGTCCAATAATTTCGTGTCAGTGGGTCTATCTTCTTACTCTTCTAGGCTACGATCGGATAAAGTTCTGGTCAGAAATGATTGGACCATCTTCGTCAAAAGACCACGAGGTATCCTTAAATACACTGATTCACCGACGTGCATCTCTTATTCTATTTTGTGACTATATCTGCGAGAATATAAGCGACTCTGAGAGTTTACGATGGTTCTTGGCTAATCACTCGTCAGCCGCGGTAAAAATGTCAGAAGAAGAACCGGTACGGGAGTTGGTTACTGTGGCAGTACATCGAGAGTCAGAGTCGAGTGGTTTATTTCTCAGTGCACTCGAAATCGATCCGTCCACTGATAAACCAGTGTATGTCAAAAGATTGCTTAGGTGTCTCGAGGCAGTTCATCAGGCTCAATCAGGAAAAGTTTTGAAGATTCTTGTGCCAAGTTTGCTGACTACCAAATATTTAGTGCTGTCTAGATTGGCAGCTAAACTTGCTAGTAGGAGAGTTGAATTATTACTCACAATGGGAAAAGATGAAGTTTTGATTCATCTTAGTGGAGATGAGTTGAAGGTATATGTCTTGGAAATAAATAATTTTCTGTGTTAAAGTTTATCCTTAATAGCGATGATGAAGAGTTAATAATTTTTTAATTTTGTAGAATATTTTCACGGCCCTAGAAAAAAAAGGTCTCGCTAAAAAACACGGAGCCCTGGTTGGTTTACTTAACAAACTTGCAACAGTCCATTACGATTTGCAACCTCTCAATTTGGAGCTTAAAAAATCGTCGGCTTTCAATGACATAAAGAGCTTTAAACTGGATCGCACTTGGTTTTTTTCACAAGTTAGTTTTTCGAAATTAATTTTTTTAAACAAATTCTTTCAACATATTTTTTATGTGTACAGGTCAAAGCCCGATGCTGCACATCGTGCATTAGTTATGGTTGTTACGAATCAGCCTTGCTTCTTAGTCACTTGAACGTCAACGAGTGTCTTGATATATTTTCATCGTCGAGTTTTGATATCAAGTTATTACAAGAGTGTGTGATAATTGGTGCTAGACTGACTGCAGTTGGTATACAAAAATTAGGTAAGCATTGTCAGTGAGTTTTCGTGCACATTAAAACTTGTCTTTATTTAATTGATTCTATTATTTCAGAGCTCGATGGTGCTGATAAGTATAGAGAACCATCCGAACATATGTTGTTCACCGCCACTAAACAAAGTATAATACAGCAAATCACCAGTATTCTTAACAAGTTAGAAAAACCTCATGAAATTTTTGTACCCCTTGCTGAGAAAGTAAACTCGTATACATCGTCCTTAGTGACTCGTTTGGAAGATCCAGAATTTCGGCAAATCATATTTAATTTAATCCCAGCGGTGACGGCCTACGTCAAATGGTCATCGAAACTTGAGCGTCCGATCGAACCCGATTACGCGGAGCCGTTATCGCATTTCTCGGTTTTGTGTCTCGAAATTTGCCAATCGTTTATTTACAATTATCCGTCAGCTGGTCAAGTATCACCACATGAACTTGATTTTGCCTTGAGATGTGCTAAAGTAATCCTTCAGAATCCAGATGTAAATGCATTCTTATCATCTTCGAGGCAGTATTCTTTGACGTGTTCAGCTGCGTCTGCGTTGGACACCATTGTTCGATATTTTTGTAAAAATCACTCCTGCGCTGAGCCTGATCAAATTTATGAGAACTGCCATGGGTTGCAAGATGCAATGGCATGCGAATCCACTAGAGAGTACGCCACCGCATGTTTACAAATGTCGGGGTTGGTCGCTTGGTTAGAGAGAAGACAAAGATCGAACGATAAAAAGTCGGAAAATGATGACATTCCAATGTTTTTCTATGATTCCATAAAAAGTATAATTGTAAGTGTAGCTAGACAACAATTGGTAAATTCATTTGTGCTGATGCCTCCGCTGTTGTGGAGGCAAGGCTGTGATATTGTTGGATCCGGTCCTACCAAGTGAGTATAATCTCTGCTAATGCGTTGAAAAGTACAAATTAATCTTATCTCACGCTTCGTTTCGTCCAGGTGTAATTTCGCTCTGTTTCTTTCGGAGCCTAACTATATTCCCGATCTCGAAATCCTAGAGGAATTCATGTACCGCATTTCCTTGCTCGGTTGGACGTCTCGGCAGCAATTCGAAGAGATCTGGATGGTATTGCTGGGTGTGTTGAACGTTTCACAGCTTCAGAACAATCGATCAGAGCAAATGGACTCTGCGTCAAGTCTGAGTCATACGGCCAGTCTCGCTGTGCAAGCCATCACTAGTCTGCTCGTGCAGACTCTTGTTTTGCCAACTCCGGGCAATCCGAGCAATGGGAGAGTCATCAGACATCCTCGCGATCCTCAGCTGTCTTTGCAGAAAAAAAGTACCAAAAGGCTGTTTTACGTTCAAGAATTACTACTATGGAGGTAGAAAAAAAAGGTTTTTTTCACTATATAAATATGAGTTTAATGAGCGATGCGTTCGAAAATGATTTCAGATTAAACACAAGTGACTGTGATTTGCCAGAGCTCGAGCATATTTTCAATCGCGGCAATTTGGAGCCTCGTTCCAGCGAAAAAGATCAAGCGTTTAGTCAATTGTCCGTGTCGTATCTGTGGTGCCAATGCTCGTTACACGCCGACAAGCTCAGTTCATCGGTGCTGAAACTAAAGAAGCGACGGGATAATGCACTGGCAAACTCGGCTCTCGACGTTAATTCCTGCCTGTATTTCCTGCTTGACCTCTACAACTCGTGGCTGAGTCCGAGCGCCAAAGTACCTTTGCGCTTGCTCCACGAGCTGATCAAGTCGCTGCTCTTTGTCTCCGATCTGTTCTCCGAGAGATCTCACTTTCAGTGGATGCTCGAGTCTTGCCTCGATCTGTGGAAGGCTCAGGTGGCCGACGACGAGATACTGCGCAGATATCTGATCCTCGCCATTTGCAAATCGGTCGCCGTGCTCACCCCACTGGTAAGTACGAACGAGAAAGTCTCGATTATTCGTGCATTAGCTAATGTAATTTTACGTTCGTTGGGTCGCTCAGGACACCGAGACTCTGGACAAGGTGAGGCGCATAGTCGACAGCAGCTTGAAGTGCGGCTCGATATCCATGCGAATGGCGACGCTGCACGGCACTCTGTACATACTTCAAAGCGCCGTGCTGGCCGACTGCGAGGAAACGATGAGCACGGTTCACTCGGCGAGCATCGAGTACATCACGCGCCACTTGAACGGCACGGCTGACAATCGAGTGTCGAGCCAGAGCCAGGAGCACCAGTGCCTGCTCTGGGCGCTGGTGTTTTTCCTGCTGGAGCACGCGGAGAGCACTCCGCCCGAGGTCGAGGCGCCCGCCGTCCTGGGAATGATCATGTCGCTGGTCTCCTCGGCGAGCATTTCCAGCTCGCTGCATCGGATGCTGCTGCAGGGCCTGGAGCGCCTCGTCGCCACTCGCAGCGTCCTCGGCAAGGTGTCCGAGCAAATAGTCAAGATATCGCTGGATCGATTGCGCCAGTCGAATCCGGTGCTCTCGTTGCCGGCGCTACAGCTCTTTCTCACTTGTATGTACACCGAGAGCGCGGAGCGTTTCAACAAAGCCGAAGAAGAGGAGGAGGCGGCGTCGGCGGGGGAGGGGCTCGCCGCAGCCGACGCACTCGAGCCCGAAGTACTCGTTCGCTCGATCGAGAGATCTTCAGCTATTTTCGATAAGATCAAAAAAGCCTACCCACTCGAGGTCGAGATACTCTGCGACGTGCTGGCCGAAGTGCTCATCGACTTCTTCCCGCCGATGGATATCTTGACAAAAGTTATCGGAGAGTTTTTGTCGCCGCAGCAGCCCTACCCTCGTTTGATGTCCGCTATTGTGTTTAAGGTAAGCTCTTTGCGCTCGAAGCAGCAGCAGCAGCCAAGTGTACGAGCAGCGGCTCACGCGCAGTCGCATGTAATAGCAAGTTGCCTTAAACAAAACGTTTAATTAAATCTTTTGTCGGAAGTTTTCGCGGCGGTGGAGGCGGCGGTGCAGCTGCCGCTGCTGCTGCTGTATCAACTGCCATAATAGCGTTAACTTTATCATAAAGGGCTGCGTTGAATGTTTGTAATCGTATTAACTTCAATCATATATAGGTGTGCGAAAAAGCCGGCAGCAGCGCGCAGCTTAGCCTGCTGCAAACTTGGGTGGTTTTCAGCATACAAAACTTTATTCAGAGCTTACCGCTTATAATGTCGACTTGGTGCCTGTCTTGCTTCTTCCTCAGCTCGTCGACGAATCCCTGGCTACGTGCTCTGTATCCTTTTTTACTTTAAACGAAAGTACGACAAAAAAAAGTCCTTTTGACGCTCTTACGATCCTTAACTCTCGAACCGTATCGAAGATTTCCGCACGTGCAGTCGAGGATCGGCAAATACGAGGCAGAGGATAAGAAAATACTTTGTATAGCTGCTTTGGACTTTTACTCGCAGGTTGGTTTAACGTTACATTCAATTTCTTTTACATCATGATGAAAATCTGAACATTCCTTGATTTTTCAGTTGCCTAGTGACTCTCAAAGAGAAACCTTTGTTAAGACGTTCGAGGAGGCTTCGAAAGAACCTGGCTCTCCTTTTGCGGATATCTTGGCTTGTTTATAAAATAATGAATAATAAATTTATCGACTCCTGCACATTTAATCTATATGAATGTTAAAATTAAATTGCTCTTTGGATCCAAACGAGCAATATATTTGGTTATTAATGTATTGACTATTGATGAGATTTTAAAGTAAGTTATCATTATGAAAGTAATTATGAGATTTTAATAATTGTTTACAATAAATACGATGTAATATTTTTTATCCTAGACTACTTTGAACTTTGTAATGTTTATTTATCTTCATGCTTCTGGCGAAATCCAAATTACTCTCAAGTAGGAACTTTCGTTTTTTTTCAGCCCGTCGTTTCTCCTCTTGATTATAGAAGAAAAATCTCAGCGTAGCAAAGTAAATTATTTCGAAAACCGATAAAACGCTCGCGCCCAAGAACAGACCCGCCGCGCCTCCAACTGATCCTGATGAAAAAAGCAGCGAGTGAGTATACATAAATATATACGACGGGCGGGTATGGAAGCGGCTGCGGGAAAAGTTTTATTTTACCTAAAAAATCAGTAAAACCGAAAATCTCCTCGCGAATGTATTTGATTTGTGGAAAGTCTATGCCGAGATTTATTACAGCATCCGGTGGCGAGCCCTCCTTGCTGGAATAAAAATAGAAGAAAAAAAGAAGAAGAAGAAAGAAAATAAGAAAAAAAACGGGTAGAAAGATTCGTTCTCGTGTAATTGGCTCGAAGCTGAGATTCGCAATACTTACAAAGCGAACGAGTCGAATTCTTTATCAAGGTAGAGTGCTCCGTTGCAATCTTGTATACAACCGCAAGCTCGAAGATCTCGGCTTTTCAACGCCATCAAATTAGCCGCTTGTCCCGCCAGACAGTAGTGCAGCTGACTGGCGTTGCAAATTGGCATGCCTGCGCGCAGTTCAACAACAACGGAACGCGTCCGAAATTATTTATTGCCGGCACACACACACAGAGTAATGATATATATCGATGAAAACAGACCGGTGCGTCGCATGGCCGTGTGCGGTCGACACTGGCAGAGCTGCTCGACTCTGGCGTAACGACACTCTCGCTCGCAGATGGCTCGTGCATAGATGGGCCATCCCCCGGGGCCAGTCGCAACGGCCGCCTTGTCCCGATGTAATTTGCAGTCGCGCCGTCGAGGATCGCTGGACGCCCTCACGCGGCTCGTGCTCGCGACCTCCTCGATGCTCAGCGTCATCGAGTTCAGCGTCAACAGGCGGACGAGCTTGCTGGATTTGCCGTTGGAGTAGTCGCCCAGCGTGTCGGGATAGTGCCAGTAGAACTGCACGCACGAAAAAGTAACGCGCATCCAAATAGTCTGTACGAGTACTTACCCGAAAATCGTGACTGCTCGAGCTGATGTATCCGACGGCTCCGGAATTTTTCACGCCAAAGGTAGCTTTTTTCGTCCGCACGCTCTTGGCATTTTTCGGTACTTTGTTCGACAACCAGTTCCTATAAAAAAAAAAAGAAAATGATTGCGTAAGAGAAATTAAAAAAAGATGAAGAAATTGGAATACTCGATATCGATGTAGGGCCTTATGTTGCTGGCGACGACGAGGCACAAGCCGCTCTCGGTGCTGGTCCAGACTCGGTCGCGCTCGATGTCCTCCTGATAGGTCGACTCGAGCAGCACATCGGCTCGCAGCTCGTAAAGCATCCTCAGCCAGAGATCGGGCGCCACGGCGGAAAAATTCGGATTTATTCGCTCGGCGCCGCTCTCGTACGTCCAACCGGCCAGATTCCTGAAAAACTCCCTCGTCTCGGCCGTATCGTCGACCTTGTACCTGTATTATTAAAAAAGAAAAGCGCTTAAATAAATTTCTCTCTCCACCCGCATGTATAAGAAGGTATATTATAGCTAGAGCTGCTATATACGCGGTGGCTGTGGCGCCGCCTAAGAGCCGTACTTTTGAAAAACTTGGCCGAACTTTCGGCTAAGTAATAGATTAACAGGGCAAACGGTCACGGCTGGCTTGGCAATTTCAAACTTTCGAAAATTATTATCCAGCAGCAGTATGGTCGAGTCGGGGCTGCGATAGCGCAGCCACGAGTCCAGAGCCACGGCGAGGAGGGCCGCCAGCGCGGCGATTATCACGGCGGCGAAGAGGCAGCGCTCGCACGGGTGTCTCCGGGCGGCCGACAGATGATTCAGTCCGTGCAGGCTGGCCTCGTTGGCGCAGGTGGACAGGTAGCGGCCGAGGCTCGTTCGAGCTCGCAGCTTCTCCATGCCCACTCCCGGCGGCTCTCTCGGCTCCAGCAGCACGGGACGGACCCCCCATCGATCCGCGAGGTTTCGCCCCCTCGCCAATCTGGGCCACTCGTTCGGGTAGACGAGCTCACCGACGACGACCTGCGCTCTCGCCATGGCCGCAAGCTCGCAACTGGCGAACTACGTATAGTACGATGGAGTAGACCGAGCAGTCGTCGTAAAAAAGCTCTCAGTTTTTATTTTTAATGAAGAGAGAACAAGAGCGTCGATGTTTCGAGCATGAAAAATTGTACGCGTGCACGTGTATCTGTCCGCTATTATACCTGTATCGAATCCATTGAGCCAGTCGCATTGAAAATCGTAAAAAAAAAAGGGTCGCGATGATTATCGCGCTGTTGCGTGATACAACAAACTTTAGCTCTCTCGCGTACTATCGCTGTGTTTGCGCCTGCATTATACGCACCGAGTGTGTGTATGCGCGTGTACGCTTTTTATCCCCGTTTTTTTTCCTGTTTTTTTTTCGCTCCCTGTTTTTAATGCTGGCATTCAGCGGGGCGCTTGTTAGCTGTCTGCGAGCGAGCGAGCGAGAGAAGCGGCATTCAAAAAAGCGGCAATGTGGCTATTCGTCATCTCGTAATATATAAGTAGCTGCCGTGCATTCTCGTCACGAATCTAACGCAGTTTTTCTTTCTTTTCTTCTTCTTTTTTTTTTTTTTTACTTTGACGTCTCGCGCGCCGGTGGGGCTTTGTGCGCGCGGCAAGGGGGCCACTTAGGCAAATTAGCAACGCGGCGCCGGGCTGCTTATAACCTAGGCTATAGTTATAGTGGTAGTTGTTGTCGTTCGAGACGTCAATGCCATACACACACACACACACACACACACACACACACACGTAAACATAACACACACTCACATAACCCATCAAGCCGATATAACAAATTAAGGCCGATTCAGCGCGCATCGGAGCTCGTCGTATTTTCCTGCAGTCGTGGATTTTCTCTTTTTCGACGAAACACATAAAGGGCCGCATCATGAGCACGAGCGAGTGGAATTGAAAGGGAACAACGAGGGAACAACGAGGGATCGGACGTGTCGTCGAGTCGGCCAAAGAGGAAGAGTCAAACATGTACGCCGATCCTCGCGAGGTACGGACCGAGAGCAAGCCTCGAGGCTTTGTCACTCGTATAATTAACTACAATCGATCGATCGAGTAGCAGCAGCAGCAACAACAGCAGCCAAGCGAAAGTAACGTCACTGGCAAACGCTCGAGCATACCGCAGCTCAACGGCGCTTGTCGTTGCATCGAGGAGGATGATCTGCTGCTGCTGCGTATACGGAGCGACGACGACGAGGAGGACGAGGACGAGGACAAGAACACGATGACGAGACCAAAGTCGACGCCGGTGCCGCACTGCGTCACTTGTTTCTGCCTGTCGAATCGGCTCAGATGCAGCCTCTACGACATGGACAACAACTCCACGACTCAGTACAACTCGAGCGAGGGCCAGGAGACGCCCAAGTGCTGCGTGCCCGACTGCAAGGCCAAGGCGCGCAAGTGTCCGCCCAACTCGGCCAGCAACCAACAACAACAACAAGCCAGCAGCGTCAAGCACCGTCGCACCACCGTCGACGAGTTGTTGCGCGAGATGGACCTCAAGGCCGACGACGTCGCCGCGTCGGCCGCAAAAATAACTATCCTCTCCAGGACCGAGGTAATTTCGCTCGAACGAACTCGATAACGCCATTTTTCTTATTAAATCTGGAATCACCGGCGATATACAATTTTATTCATTATCGTTCGGTTTGAATTCGGTTTTTTGCATATCGCGCTTTATGCGATTCCGCTCGATATATATATATATGCCTGTACTCTTGCTACGCACATATAAATGTACATATATATCGAAAGCTTTTTGCCTCCGAGCAGATAGTCGGATCGTCTTCTTTTTTTTTTCTTCTTCCACTGCGCAGCAAAATCGTAGAGACGTGCATTTTTCCCTTAAATGCCCTCAGGCTGTCTTTCCTTCACTTTAACGGATGGAATTCCAAAAGAAAGAAGAGAGAGAGAGACTCAAGGAGTATATGGAAGAATGCTCGTTCGTGTATATGTGTCGTATACATACTTGTGTGCATGCGTACTGGGATCGGAAAGAGAAAAAGAGACGAGATAAAAAAAAAGACATCAACGATAGAATCTAAGAGCAATGAAATTTTGATACTCTGTTATTACTTTTCTATTCGAAAGCCTCTGCGATTTCGCGTATACATAGTTTTATTGATATTTTGGTCCTTTGGCCTACACGCCAGAACGACTATTAGCATAATGGACTTTGGGATCAGGGAAAATTTGGCCCCGAGTCGTCGAGGCGACTGCCATGTAGCAACGACGATAAACTTTCGTCATTTTTCATTAATTTATTTGTACGGTATATAAGCGCGTCGAGCCGCCCCCCTCGATGGCCCATTACGGTTCTTGTGATTTTCCAATCAATTACTCTCCCGAGCCATTTGTTCCGGATAAATCAATTTTATCCGAGCGAAAATGTTGATTCTCGTGACTTGCACTTGATAAAATTCGTAAAAAAAAAAATAATAAATAAATAAAGATAAAAGTTGGACAATGCTCGACGCATTTAGGAAAAAATAGAGACGACGGAGCTGGGTCAAAACTCGATCCGACAGCAGAAGCAGCAGCAGCAGCAGCAGCAGCAGCAGCAGCTACAGCAGCGGGCAGCACGCCGCAAACGTCCAGGCGCAGTACGTCGTCAGCAAAATAAGCAGCAAGAAAGAATCTGCCCGAGAGTAAGCAGCTGCGAGAGATGGCCCGAGCGTCGTAATTCGACTACTACTACTACTACTGCTCCCAACGACGACGAGAGCCGACTTCGAGTGAGTTTTGTGTTGTTTCATCTTTCAATTTCAGAAGCTTCCTCGTGTTTCGCTGTGACAGCTAAATCTCGCGTACATATACAGAGGAGCAGCTCTCTGTATGTGATATTTCGATTTATTTTGATTTTACCGAAATTGCGCCCGACCTTCGCGCTGAAAAAATAGATCGATTCATTTTCGAGACGATATCGTAATGGAAATTGCGCGTTGCACACTTAGAAAGCGGCGGCGATGCAGCAGCTCGACTTGAGCGACTACGACCAGGGCGAGGAGACGCTGGACGAGGCTCGCTACTCCGCGGCAGCGGGCGACTCCGATCGCCTTCCCAGGAGCAGCAAGTCCAAGACTAATATCGAACGAATGAAACAGCCGGCGACGAAGCGAGTAGTACGAGTCGACGTGGCGTCGGGCGCGTCGTCGTTTCGGAAAAATAACGGCCACCAGCAGCAGCAGTCGTCTCAGCAACCACCTCTGGAGACATCGGACGAGGAGGAGGAGCAGGAAGAGGAGTTGCTGGTGGACGGTTTCAAGGCGGAGGCGCTCGAGCTCGAGACCGAGCGACGCGACTGTATCGAGCGGCTTCATCGCGACGTGACGAGTCTGCTCGAGATTCAGCGACGATTCGACGACATCGAGGCAGCGAGAAGGAGACGACGACGCTCGACTGGTTCGAGTCAACAGCAGCAGCAGCAGCAGCTAGGAAGACGAGCTCCGTACAGCAGTGGTGCGACGAGCGACAGACGTCGCAGTCGATCGACGCCTCGGCCTGCCTGAAGACTCGCTCGCTCACATTTACATAGATTTATACAATTTTTATATCATATAGTTTATATTAACTTTTTAGACGTAGACTGTTTATATTTATATACAAAATTATTTTATAGCAAATAGACTAATCGATTCGAGTAAAATAAATATAAAAATCACAAGAGTCCATACAGTCAGTGGGTCAGTAGTCGATATTCTCGAGACGCGAGAGCGATCACGACTCTGAGAAATTTATCTTCGTCGCTGTACCGATCCTCGCGACGGTGGCAGTAATACACTCCGACGTGTACATCGCGGATCGCTCGATACGAGTGTCGATAAAAGAATTAAGCAATATCATACGATATGAGCTAGCTGGAGCTAAATCGACAACACGTGTAGAGGACGCTGACACAAGGACGACGGCGGCAGCTTGGCATCAACCGGGAGCTATTATTATCGAGCTCGTGGGGACAGAGAGGTAGAGATAAAAATTCGCGGATGTACAAGCGGTTTGTAGAGGAATACGTGTGCAGCAGCAGCAGCAACAGCTGTGAACGATGGCTCGGAGGAATACGAGGCCGATTTGGAGAGAGAGAACTAGAATACAGCACGCGACAGACAAAGGGTGTACCTGATGCTATTGAAGCGCCGCGTCCTGATTTGCAGTCGAGCTTACTCTTCCCCTTCTCCTACCCTCCCCCCATCCTCTGGCCTCGTATCGTTTCTCCCTCTGTGCTTCGAGTCCTGTGCTTCTTTCAAACGTGATTTCTCGCTGCTCCGCGCGACTTCCATGTCATGTGCGAGTATCGCATACAAGTATATAGACTGAGAGACGGAGAAAAGAAGCCACGAACTTGGCCGAATCGAAGAACAAGAGACTTTTTATCGAAATTTATGTACGCGCGTCGTCGTTGCGGGGCTCGATGCACCACGACACGGCTTCGCTCGCGCGTATTTCGACCGCGAGAAAAAGTCGCGAGACGCGCGTATACATTATTATGCGCGCGTAAGAAAGGTATAAGTCAGCGAGAAAGAAGAAGCAGAGAGGAGAGGAGGAGCTGCGGATGAAATTCTCATGGGGGGCGGCTGGAGCTCGGCGCAAAAAGCAATTGTATGTAATGCGGCATTGTGTGACCGGAGCCAAATAAAAAGCGCGAGCTAGCTCTATAGCTGAACTGGCTGGCTGCAGCGCTTTATGTTAATGGGAAAAATGTCATTTTGCCTTCTTTTCTCGACTCCCTTTTTTTTTTCTTTTTTTTGGGAGGGTAAAAGCAATCTCAGCTGTGTGCACAACACCAATTCGTACATAGCAGAAGCTGCGAGTATGTGTGTATATGCGCGCGAGGAGGGTGATTTACGTCATCGAGAGCGCTATTATTTTCGAATTAAAGCAGTCCCCCGAGTCGCGTCGGTGGTGGCGGCGACGGCAACGACGAGATTGGACGAAAGACGATAAAAAGGCTCTTATTTACTCGCGCGGCTAGCTCAGATATAAAAAGTTGCCACTCACTCTGGAGCTTTCCACGCCGCAACGACGAAACTTGTATATACGTATATTAAAATACGTCTCAAAGAGAGAGAGAGAGAGATAAAAGTGAGCGCGGGGGGCCGATCCGCTAATCGATATGATTAGCCTTTGCCCGTGCCGCTCTATGTGTATAAGTAGCTCGAGTGTAGCCGCGCCGAGGATATTAATCGGCCGAGTTCTGCGAGGGGGGCAAATAGTTTTCGTCTCGGGCAACTAGTAAATATACGAGCCAAAGCAGCAGCAGCAGCTCTCGTAATCGATGAATATTTGCATAGTTAATAAGTGGATTTAAGGGAAAAGCCGACGTTCGCGGCCACGACGACTACTAGGACGGCGGAAGTGCAGCAGCAGGCATGAGGGAGGCACTAACGAGAGGAGTCGAGCTATTTCGCAACAGAGTTAGCAGCAGCCCCGGCAAAATATTTATCCCGGAACTTTGCCTTGGAAAACTTGATTGATTTTCAGTTTATAATTTCTTCTCTCTGATGCTGCTGCTGTTACTGCTTCTGCTGCTGCTACTGCCGCACGGGGCACATTTGCAAATCGAATCAGGCGTAGATACAGAGAGTTTCGCTACATACAGAGTACATCGTGCAAGTGTATTCGTAACTTATCGCGAATCAAGATACGTTATACGTATACCCGTCTGATATTTCGACACCCGCTTTCTCTCTCTCTCTCTCTCGGTCATATATACACAGAATAGCCGGGAATATATATATACAGAACATATTACAGCGGACGAGATACATATCGCGAACCGAATGTCTGTGTATACGTTTGTATGGGTTGGGCAATTTAATCGGGCGTGTATAGCAGCAGCAGCAGCGCGTGTTGCGCCGCTTCAAATCGGCCAATATAATTAATGTCTCTATTCGTGTTGAAATACTTGCCGATAAGGCGGCACAGCAGCACAACATACATACATAGAGGCATGTATATTTTTCAGCCGTACATACGGCAAAATACGTATCATGCCGCTCAACTGCAATTGCACACGAAAACGCGCGTATATATTTATTTTATAATAAAAAGCAGCAGCAGCCTCGTCGTGGCGCGGAGCAGCTCTGTTATTTCGTCCGCCAGTTTATACGTGTGTATTATCTAATAACAGCCGGGGCCACAAAAACGTACGTATTATACGTACACGCGCGTATCGCTTAATTTATTCAGCTTCTTTTATGCGCGCCCGGGCGGCCTATGCATGACCGTTTCATTATGCGATTCTCTCTCTCTTTCTGCCTGCACGCGCCGCGACTATTACGGTATTATATAGCGACTCTGTTTATTGCTCGCGACGCGCGTATTATTGTTAGGCACGCTCGTTAAGATTTTTTCGAGCCGATGTTATATAATATAAGCAGCTATTTTTAATCGATCGCGACGAATCAAAGTCGCGAGTAATTATGTCAGTATTATGAGTGTGGCTAATCTCCATCGAGACCGATGATCTCTCTGTATGGGTGTTTATTTGTAAACACGAGCCCGGCCGCGGCCCGCGTCGCTCTCCGATGCCAACGCGTCGAACGTTCTAAAATATAGTCTGCTGTCAACGGTCGAAACGCTCTCCTGCCTTATCTTTCCGATTATTTGATTCGATCGAGCGGAAAATCTGCCTCTCGTGCCTTTTTTGCTTCTTGAATCGTATAGCGCGTACCTCGAAATCATGTCGTCGACGGCGGACGATAACCTGCAGCTCATCGACAGCGTCTACGAGTGCAGCGAGTGCTCGGCCAGCTACCGGAACCACGGCGACTTGCAGCGTCACCTGGTCAAGAACCATCCGGAGCTCGAAGCCAAGCACGTCTGCGAGACGTGCGGCGGCGCGTTCAAGCGAGCCGAGGACGTCCAGGAGCACAGCAGCCTTCGGCACAACGCGGCAACCGGCGCCGGTGGTCACGACGACTCGGGCGTGGGCAATTCCTCCGGCCTGAAGCGCAGCCGGTGCAACGAGTGCGGCAAACGCTTCTCCCAGTCTTCCGGCCTGAGGAGGCACGTGATGTCGCTGCACTCGGCCCAAAAGCAGAAGCCAAAGCCCAAGCCGAAAAAGTCGAAGAAGCGAAAGAGAAAGGACGAAGAGCAATCGGACGAGGAGGCCGAGGAGACGGAGGAAGAAGAGGAGACGGTCGACGCGGACGGCAAGAGGCAGAGGCGGCACCGAGCACTGGTGCACAGCGACGAGAGCGGCGTCTCGAGCGCTAGTACATCGCCCGACTCTTCGCAGTCCGACGAAACCCCGACGACGATCCAAGTCATGATGGACGAATTGAGGAGGATCGCTCGGATGGATCCTCCACCAGCATCGCCACCGCCACCGCCGCCGCCGCCAACGCGTGAGTACCGCTTCGTCAAGGGGCTGAGCTGCCACGTCTGTTCAGGCTCGTTCGGTCGCCCGATCAACCTGCGAAGACACCTCTTTGCCAGGCACGTCGTCCGTCCGGAATTCGAGTCCGTCTTCTACAGCGAGAGATACTCGTCGGAGCGGAATCTCGACCTGCATCGAAAGATCACCGAAAAAACTCACCATCCGTACGAGTTCGAGGCCTGCGGCAGAAAATTTTTCCACCTGTGCCGCGACGTGTTTTCGTCGCCCGAAGCCGAGCAGCAGCTTTGCGACTTTCTTATTTCTTATATTTTCGATCATCTTCTCGACACGTTAGACCATAACGATGAGCGATTAAGCGACACCGGCATCGATTATTTGGATGTCTTGCGCGACGAGTGTGATTTGGAGCCCGATTCAGAAATATTCCCTGCTTCGTGGATTTTTGGTGACTATTCGAGTGTCGAGCACGAGTCTGAAAGAGACGAAAATGATTGTGATGGAAAAGTAGCTCTCGAAATGCTTGACAGTTCGACATCAACACCCACTCCGACCCGATTTAGTAGTACCGAAAGTATCAACGTTCGTAACGATAGCTCGGAATTTACGAAGGCAAAGAGAAAAAGAGACTTCGAGTTCGACGCTGGTGCGGAAAAATTCGCTACTCGAAGAGAGCTTCAGACTGACTGGAATAATGAGCACGATGGAACGATAGCCGAAAGCTCGTTTGATTCAGAGCAGCCGACTTGCAACGAGAACAATGAGGACGTTTCGATAGTGGAGTCGAGCCTTAAAAGATTCCGAAAGCTTCTCGCGGACAGCCCGAGAAGAACTTCTGAGAGGATTTCGACTAAAGTGGACAGTCCTCGTGACCAATCCGATTCAGCGACACGCCATGAATGCACCTCGTGTTCCAAATCGTACGACAATTTGGAGGATCTCGTCTCCCACATTAACGATACGCACGAAAAAACGAAGACCGAAAGCTCGCTTGATTCAGAGCAGTCGAATTGCAACGAGGACGTTTCAAAGGCGGAGTCGAGTCTTACAAGCACACCCAGCGAGCTTCTCGCCGACACCCCGAAAAGAACTTCTAAGAGTACATCAACTAATGTGGACAGTCCTTGTGCCCCATCCGTTTCAGCGACACGTTACCAATGCACCTCGTGTCCC